AGCCAGCCGCACGATGACTGTGATGACACTGACCGTGGTTTCGCAGTTGCTGCCTGTGCTGCGGTAATATACGATTGGGGTGAGCAGGATTAAGTATGAATAGACCACTGACATTATGGGACTCCTAGTACTGGCGTTCGGACAAGAGGTAGGTCGACACCATGACAGGAGCAACCATCCTGCTGACAACAGTTTTATAGGTGGAACTAATCTGGGTGAGCGGACTCTCACATGAAAAGAACGATCTGAAAATATGACAACTGATTTGCGGCAGAGGCAACGGTGGTCCATGATGACCGTTTTGTATTTCATCGTACGTAGCTTGTGTTTTCAAGTGTGGGTAGCACGTTGTACTGACTTGAACATATCCTAGGCACGATATCTTGGAATAGGATTTATTGTGTACGTTTTTTCTACGTCCGAGCCATCAGTGTTGCGCTCATTTCCTATCTCTTACAATCAGCATCAGGATATTTCGTATGTCTTCTCACATAGAATCTCTTTCTTTCTTCTGACGGGCGGCATACAGTCAGCGTTCCGACAATTTTAATGACAGATGCAGTAAGTATTCCTCACTGATGTCTTACATTCCCGTCCAAACAACTGAATAAATGTGTAGGGGTGAGTAAGATTCTCGAACAACTCGTTGGTTCAATGTAATGATCCCCACAGTTGTGAGTTTGTTACGAGCCTGTGATCCTCTGAAGCCTATAATCAATGTTGCTGGATTCGTCAGGCCTTATCATGACCGAAGCTGTTGCTTGGGCGTCCGACGTTATAAATGTAATACTGGGCGGTGAGCTACTAGACTACACACCTCCGTGGTATTGACTTGACTGAAATATCATCCAAGTCATCATGATCGCTCGGTTGCATGCTATGCATCAGCGATCCAGAAAGGTGCTGATATTCCTCGTTGTCATCTTTCTGGCCATCAGAATCGCCAGCGTGATCGTGGTCGCAATAACGATGACGCAGGCTTCAGGGGGTAAGCTTTAATTATGTATGAAATGTTCAAGTGCATCAGGCTCATTGTCAAGTACCAGAGGAACTCATTCTCTCCGGCACCTATCATTGTACCGTAGACTATGCAGGAGATTCCCTATTTCTGAGTACCTTGACTTGGATACTTGTCGCTGTATGGGAGGTCATTGCACTGTGTCTCGCAGTCTGGATTGCTATAAAGCACTTCCGTGAACTGCGAAGACACTCAACAAGAGGTATCATCGGGGACTGTTTCACAGTGTTAATGAAAACTCATGTGATTTACTTTGCGAGGTGAGCTCGTAATTTGAATGTTGTTTGTTTTTTTCGCTCACGTTCTACACGTGCTAGTTTTTTTGCTTTTGCTTGCTTCAATATCGGGTTATTCTTTCCAACAGTCTCAGCAGTATGTCGATCTGTCACTAACCTGTGTGTACGCCCATGATCCATCAATTCTATAGGACATATTTCTCCTGGACGTTCAGATTTATTATGGTTTCTCTAATCTTCGAGATGGTGCAGCTCTCTGTGCTGGGTCCACGCCTCATCCTCAGCGTTCGAGAGTATCATGCAAAACTCGTGGCCGACTCCGATACAGCAAGCGCTATGACTTCAATTGCTTTCCAGGAGCACGTCCATGTGGAAACTAGCAGTAGCGTTTAGTGCAGGACATTCTCGATCTGATTGTTTTGCGATGGGCGGGTAGTCTGTAGGGGAGTTTATTTTTGTTCATTCCAAGTTTCGTCGTCGTGCTTGCTTAAGTTATTAAATACAAGCAACTCTATTATTCATCCTGCTGTGGTTCACGCGCTCTACCACTTTCACCATTTTTGCATCTGCCTTTGGTGTACCGGGTGGCGAACGGTGTCACAAGGTGGAGCTCCAATGTGTCAACCAGTGTTGCGCAGTAAACCGGGCTTTACATACACGTCCGTTCCCCGGCAACTTGCGCGAATGCAATCGTTACACATCTACCAAATTTCCCCCTCACTCACTCAGGCTTCCATCCTCTAATAGTATGACCCTAGTCTCGAATGATCCCAGTTGGTGGCCATTCATCAACGCGAGTCTTATCACCAGCTATTTTGCAGGTTTGTTCAATGCTAGCCGCATGATGACCATGCTGACTCTATCAAAACTGACTGCGGTTTCGTAGTTGCCGCCTGTGCTGCGGTAATATACGACTGGGGTGAGCAAGATTAAGTATGAAAAGACCATTGACGTTATGGGATTTTAGTACTTACGTTCGGACAAGAGGTATGTCGACACCATGACAGGAGCAACCATCTTGTTGACAACAGTTTTACAGGTGGAACTGATCTGGGTGAGCGGACTCTCACATGAAAAGAGCGATGTGAAAATGCCACAGCTAATTCGCGACAGGGACGACGCTGGTCCCTAATGACCGTTTTGTATATCATTGTATGTAGCTTGTGTTTTTAAGCGTGGTTAGCAAGTTGTACTAACGGGAACATATTCTAGGCACGATATCTTGGAATAGGATTTGTCGTGTACGTTTTTCTACGTCTGAATCATAGGTGCTGCGCTCATTACCCATATCTCACGATTAGGATCAGGATGTTGTGTATGTCTCCTCGCATGGGCTCTGTTTCTTTCTGGTAACAGGGAGCATACAGTCAGTACTCCAACAATTTCGATGACAGATGCAGTAAGCATTCCACACTTGTGCCTTCCATTCCCGTCCGAACAACTGAACTACCGTGTAGGGGTGAGTGAGATTCTCGAACAATTCGTTGGTTTAATATAATGATTCCTATTGTAGTTGTGAGTTTGTTGCGAGCCTGTGATCCTCCGAAGCTGATAACCAATATCACTGGATTCATCAGGCCATTACATGGCCGATGCTATTGATTGGCTGTTTGACGTTGTAAATGTAATACTAGGCGGTGAGCTACTATACGCCTCCGCGATATTGACTTGATTGAAATATCATCCAAGTCATCATGATTTCTCGGTTGCATGCTATGTATCAACGATCCAGAAAGGTGCTGATATTTCTCGTTGTCATCTTTCTGGCCATCAGAATTGCCAATGCAGTCATGGTCGCAATAACAATGACGCAGGATTCAGGAGGTAAGCTTTAATCATGCATGAAATGTTCGAGTGCATCAGGCTCATTGTCAAGTACCAGAGGAACTTGTTCTCTCCGGCACCTATCATTGCACCATAGACTATCCGGGAGATTCCCTATTTTTGAATTCCATGAGTTTGATACTTGTCACTGTATGGGAAGTCATTGCACTGTGTCTCGCAGTCTGGATCGCTGTGAAACACTTCCGAGAACTGCGAAGACACCCAACAAGAGGTGTTATCGGGGACTGTTTTACAGTGTTAATGAAAACTCATGTGGGTTACTTTGCGGGGTGAGCTCATAATTTGGATGTAGTTATCCTGTTTCGCTCACGTTGTGCACGTGCTAGTTTTTTTGCTTTTGCTTGCTTCAATATCGGTCTACTCTGTCCAACGCTCTTGGCGGTATGTCGATCTGTCACCGACTTGTAAGTACGCCCATGATACATCAATTCTATAGGACATATTTCTCCTGGACGTTCAGATTTATTATGGTTTCTCTATAATCTCCGCGACGATGCAGCTGTCTGTGCTGGGACCACGCCTCATCCTTAGTGTTCGAGAATATCATGCAAAACTCGTGGCAGACTCCGATACGACAAGCACTATGACTTCAATTGCTTTCCTTTTTTGGACCGCGTCGATGTAGAAACTAACAGTGGCGTTTAGTGCAGGACATTCTCGATCTGATTGTTTTGCGATGGGCGGGTAGTCTGTAGGGGAGTTTGTTTTTGTTCATTCCAAGTTTCGTCGTGGTGCTTGCTTAAGTTATTAAATAGAAGCAACTCTATTGTTCATCCCACATAGTTACCTCCGTACTTCTGAAATATCTTTTGCAATTTGCAACGCACTGGCAGAGACAGGGCACCAAATTCCCACGATACGCTAAAATGCCTCACTAATAAGATCGAGTTGTGCTCTTTCAAATTTCAATTCCCACCAGTTTTGCATCTCCTTCGATTTCTTGCAGCTCGAAGCTCCGCCAAATTAGCACAGAGTATTACAGGTCCTCGACTACGAGATATACGATTTACTTGGGAGCGAATGGGCCATCGTGATAATGTTGCACTTCTGTCAACCTGCCCAACAACATAATGCACATTGTGTGCGACTTTTGCGGCGCCTCTTACATGTCAAGTCAACTCGCAACCGTGCACTCGACATCCATACATTGAAACCAGAATTGTACGGTGAAACAGAATCCAGATGGTGTGCCCCAGGATTGTCAAGATGCAGACCACCAGCGTCTACACGCAACTTCGCACTCGACACATACCACTAAACCAGCACCTCCATCGCATCGGAAAAAGCCCATCACCGCACTGCCCCATCTGCCCAGGAAGAAACGAAACAATTGATCACTATCTATTCGACTGCCCTCAATACGCCAGAGAAAGACACATATTCGCGAACGCCCTACGCCGCAAAGCAAACTCCCTAACCTATATCCTCACATCCGAGAAAGCAATAGAACCACTAATACGTTTCATCAATAGCACAGGAAGACTAAAACCAACATTCGGTGAGATCACGCTCAGTTAAATTATTCAATTCACGCACGCAACAACTGTAACAGCACCAACACGCACAATAGAAACAGAACAACGCATCACACACTGTATAACACGCAAAACGTGTACTAACACATGTACTAACACACAAAAACACTCCGAGACTGGAGGGAAGGCTATCGCAGGACGAGAAAGCCAATGTAGGAGGAAGAGGCCAACAGGAGGAAGAGAGACGAAGAACAACCACAAACGCATCAAAGACAAGAAAGATGCGCACCAAGTCCCACTCTACCACCCCAAACCATTCACTTCACCCCACACATCCCTTTGTACGAAATCAGCGTCGGCCTTTGCCCGACACTATGCTGACGGAGTACGCGTTCAACCTATACAATACATCAGATACACAATTACCTACGATAGATACACGGGAGCAAGCCCCCCAAGTAAAGGGCTCAGTCCAACATAGGGTCTACGACCCCAGAGGACAATAAACCTGATTTAAAATTAAAAAAAAATAAAAATAAAAAAAAAGATGCAGACCAATATGAGCGAGAGTACGGTAGTTCTCATGAAGCCCAATTTGTCTACGTCTTGACACCCTGTTTGTCTCCATTCTTTTGCGACGACCTGGGATGATTCCGTCTTCTATCTATCACCTACTAGCACCCCAGGAAAGATCAACTATATTATGGTCGGCCCCACGTCGTTCCGCTAGGGGAAGGCAGTTCCCACGGATAGTCAATTGGTTGTTTGGCCTGCTGCACATACCTGTAAACGCCTACAAGATGAACTGGAAATCATTGGCAATATGTCTCTTGTGTTCGAGTCAAATCTGTCTCGCATACAATGGCATGGTTATGTTCATGGACGATGGCATGACTCTTGCCGTAGGGAACATGCTGTCGTATCTGCACTTCACGCCAGGAGACACTCGTGGGTTATATCTTCTCACCTACATACAATGAGCTCTTCTAACAGGCCTGGATACAGTTTGGTTCCTTGGCTGGGTTTCTAAGAGCTCGGGAGCCATGGTTGGCACATGTTTCGCACTGTTTATGTTGGCGGTGATCGAGCGCTGGATAGTGGCCTGCCGAGGAGTGATGGAATTCCACTGGAGCCAACAGTACGTTATTTTCCTTCTTTTGCATAGTTTATTTCTTACGCATGATCAGGGCGATTATCATCGCGTCGGACAAACTCAATACTCTACCAACTCGAACACCTCCCATTGGATTCATAAAGCGCTTCACTCCCCCATTTATTCCTGCGCATGACATCTCACGTGGGGTCATGTTTGTAGCGCAGACGCTACTGGATTACCTCTTCATGCTGACAATTATGTACGTCGTGTCGCTCTTTTTGGTCGTCGAGCTGTTGATGTGATGGGCGTGGACAGGACGTTCCAGCTAGGTTTCATATTCTCCCTTGTGGTGGGGCTTGGAGTGGGAGAAACTCTCTTTGGAAGGTTTGGTAGTGTTACGCGTGCGCATTAAATCTATGCACGTCCGTTTTTGTAAGTATAGAATGGCTGCAAAGTATTGACTTCCTCTTCGTTATCGTCAGGCATGCCAAGCTAGGATATGTATCGCTAGTCTAATTGAAGCTCTTGAGTTGAGCAGGCGGAGCTGCGTCTCTGTGACGGTGGCTCTCGACGATGCTGGAAAATGGACCAAGCGTGGTATCATGCACAGATAATGCAACGTTTGTGATTGAGCTCGGTGATTGCTCCTTGAACGATACCATGTTTTTCTGCAGTAGTGGGTTGAACGGCTGTACAGAGTCAGATTACTTTGATTATTCGAGAGTGATGAAATATGTTAGGTCACAAGGATACGTAAGAGGCAGCGCGAAGACCGTCTCTTATAAGCGCTTGAGTACTACTAGCCATCGATGAGTGTTGCAACGTTGAGCCTATAGAGGTCAGTATGTGAAATTTCACATCCATGTTCCCGGTCCCGTGACCAGTGTGACCTTGTCGGACTACGTTAGCGGCAAGCTTGTGAAATCGACGGCGGCGCTTCTGTCATCCGGTAAAACCTAATAGGAACTTAACTGAGTTCGGGATGCGAATATCACAAGGCTGCTCGCGTCCGACGTAAGCTTGTTTTAGTTGTTCCGCGTCATCCATCTAAGTAGCGTCCGATTGTATCCTCCTCTCAACTTCACATGGGCAAACAACTTCCTGCATCCGAGCTCAAGCGAGACGAGTCCCTTAGAGTTGTAGACAACCGCACTGGGAAGGAATACACCGTCCCGTGCGTCCCTCTTCCTCAGAATTTTGACTTCGATTGACACCGTGCAGGATCACCCACAACTCGATTCCTGCGAACTTCTTCAAGGGCATTCGTGCTGCTCCGGGTCCAAATGACAGACCCGAAGACGAGACAGAACGCGGTTTACGTGTCGCCGATAGAGGTTTTCTCAATACAACCGTGATAGAGAGTCGTATAACATATATTGATGGCGACAATGGGATATTGCGGTACAGGTACGCACGCATCTTTCTCTTGTCACTATACCACTCATCAAATTTCGTAGAGGCTACCCAATTGAGCAACTCGCCGAACGCTCCAGCTTCCTTGAGGTTTCTTACCTCCTCATATATGGCGCGTTGCCCAGTCCATCCCAATTGTCCCACTTCACTAGCGAAGTTCTCCTCCACGGGCCAATACACTCTGATGCAGAAGGATTCTTCCGCTCATTTAGGTACGATGCTCACCCCATGTCGATGCTTACAAGTGCTTTTGCATACTTGGGAAGCTACTATGGGGAGGCAAATCCAAGTCTGCAGGGTGAGTTAGTTAACCTGGAGTATTCCCTCATTTTGGTGACCTTTTATAGGGCAAGATTTGTTCACCAAAGCTGCCAAGGGTGATCCTGTTGCACTCCAGAATATGGATAGGCAAATATTCAGGCTGATCGGTAAAGCTACCACATTAGCTGCGTGCGTACTAGTAGTTGTCCACTTCTTCGTTCGCTGATAAATAGTACATGTAGCATGGCATACCGTGTCCGCCAGGGCCGTGATTTTGTTGTGCCTCCAACAGGAATGAGCTATACAGAGTCGTTAGTAACCATTTCACTAGTTTTGCATCATTATATATTAAACTCTTCACATGCAAGGTTCCTCTACCAGCTCGACCATCTCTCACCTACAGATCACCTGTCAGAGTCTCACTCAAACAAGCCACATCCTGTTCTTGCAAAGGCACTTGACATCCTTTTTACCCTCCATGCCGACCACGAGATGAACGCGAGTTCGACAACCGTACTCCAGACTGGGTCGTCGTTACCCGATCCGTTCAGCGCCGTTGCGGCAGGCTGTGCGTCACTGTAGTAAGTACTGTCCAGCGTCCTACTGACCCTGCCTCCCGAGGCTTTTCGAGGTGGAGTTGCCTTCAATGCACTTCTACTCGTACCTTGCCATTTTTTGTTCATTTATGAGCTTTCGCTTCATGTCGATACTGACGGGCTCCCCTCTCAGCGGCCCGCTTCACGGAGGTGCGAACGAAGCTGTTATTCGGATGCTTCTTTCCATTGGCAGGTCCGTTTTTATAGCAACTATTTTTTTGTTCGTCTCCTCACATCTTTATCAAGTCCCAAGAACGTCCCTGCCTTTTTAGATGCAGTAAAGAAGCGCCAAAAGGTGCTAAGTGGATTCGGCCACAGAGTATATAAAACTGTGCGTAGTCATTCTCCTATTGTTTGCTGTCCTGATGATTTTTGGTAATCCGCAGTCTGATCCACGCTCATTTATCATTCGTAAGGTGGCTGATGAGGTGTTTGCTGTGTAAGTGTTCATCATTACGGCGAAACTGTGGGATTGATATTGGGATCAAGGACTGGTCGTGATCCATTGCTTGATACTGCGATGGCTCTGCATGATGCAGCACTGAAGGATGATTACTTCGTATCGAGGAAGTTAGCTCCGAACGTTGATTTCTGGAGGTAAAATTTATCTTTGTCCAATCATTGACATGAATTGACTTTTATCTATCAGCGGGTTGATCTACCGTGCAATGGGTAAGTGCCAGTATTGTACGAAGACGGAAGATATGTAACACGGTAACGGATAGGTTTCCCGATGGACTTCTTCCCAGTCCTGTTCGTTGTACCCAGAGTTGTGGGCTGGGTTGCACATTGGCGACAGGTGCGTATGCCCTTCGTCTTCTTCCATTCCACCGACTCACTAGTCGCCCATATGCAGATGATGCTTTCTCCATCGGGAGTCAAGATCTGGCGCCCTCGACAACTTTACCTTGGCCCATCCACACGTGATTACGTACCTCTAGATGAGCGCACGGGTGCTTTCCAAGTTGGTGTTGGCATGGAGCCGAGCGTGATTGAGCATTCAGGGTTTGTGCAATCCTTAATGGTATGATAGGATACTGATTCACTGGGCAGGATGACGAAGAGGCGGAAGTTGGCCGAGGCTGCTGGAAAGGTCACGAGCAAACTTTGAGTGTGAGGGTGTAAGATTTATCATTACTCATATACCGTTGAATGTCAACAATGTCTTGCGAATGTCGAGCCTTTCTGTAAAGATTCTAAAATATCCTGTGCGTATGTAGTCCAAGGACGTGACCTTCGGCGATAAATTTGTCTCAGTTTCTGGAACGCGATCTAACATCGTTCGGTGGTCAATGTGTTACATCTTCGCATCGCCATGACCTCATAAAAGTGGCACCGCATTTTTATAGTCCAACTACATTCGACCCCAGTCACAGACTAGATCCGTCAAGATCAAGCTCTGAGTCAGTTGCGGCCCGGAGCTTCGCATCAGTAGGTTATTCGAGACAAACAAAATAGAGTAACAAGAGCAATTAATCACAGGTATCGCTTCAAGATGCTAATATATGCCCACATACGCACACTATCTACTATTGTCCATCAATTATTCCAGTATTGAAAGAAAGCGTGTCTCAAGGGAAACTCTAAATGAGGCAGGCCAAACGAGACAAGACTCAGATCTCATGAGACGTCCTAGTTCCAGTATCCACTGCGGGTACTTCACATGCTGCAGTGACAGGATTTAGTTATGACCATCGTTGAAAAACAGCTGTGATTTCAAGTACCTGCGGCCGCTGCAAGGAATCCCATCCTGAAGTTTTTTTCCCGTTGCGTCGCGCATGCTTGCTATTGGACCTCATCAATTACTTGTCATTCAAAGCAGAAGAAGTCAAACTTTGAGGCGCTGTTTTAAAACCTTGCATTCATCCCGTACCTCGGTCAACCTGTGGTACGCCGTGTACTTGTTCAACTCGACACGAACGTTTATGAGCCTTTCTGAAATGAGAAGGTAGCATACGAGACAATACAATATATGCACGGCACCTGCTGAACTCCTGGCTGGATGACTTTTGTTCTTCGTCAGTGATCAGGTCTGTGTTACAGGACAGTATTGTAAGAGCATCTGTCAGGATCTCTTCGATTTCTTTGAGGATTTTCTTTGGGGATGGATTATGTGGCCAGCGGAAATGCATATGAACTTCAGTAAAGTCTTGGAATAGGTTTGTAATGGGTGGATACTTGAGCGTACCTGCAACAGGTCGCATATTTCTATTCCTCCAGGGACTAACAATGAATGCTGGTTTAGTTGTTGTTCAACGTTGAAACTTTTTCACAGAATAATAATGATATTGGTAGGCAAGGAAATAGAAGTCCCGGTGAGGACCCACAAAGTCGCCCACGAAAAGGACAGGACTGTAATGTTGTGGAAACTTGTGCATTTCTTTGGAGACGGGCCAGTAGTTCTCTGAGTGTCTATGTCATGGTACTTCATGCGCTATCCCATTCAAGTCCATCCCCAGCGTCAGTAGTAACGAAGATGAGCGAATTGATTATTGAACTCACATGCAGTACATACTATGCACATGTTTGATTCACGATTCACAGAGGTAGATTAGTTATTGATTGTTATTTCTATAAGCAAGATTCAACTCACTAAACGCTCAGGCCTGCGGGCCGTAGGCGCTGAGCCGCCCCAACTCGGGGTGTGGCTGACTCAACTCTTGATTGTGATTTTCATAATTAAAGCTGAAGAAGATACTCAGACATCAAACACAAGATGTCCAGTACTAGACCTTCCGGCAGCGCCACAAAGACCGCCGTGACTACATCATGATTTGATGCCTTCTCGGTCAAAAGTGACACTGCGAACTGTAGAATATCCATAGTACGTACAAGAACATATCAGAAAACCCCTCCCATGCAAACCTAGACATGGATGAGAGAAAAAATGTATGCACTGATTTAAACGAGAGTTAGGAGGGCTGTGTCCACTGTAGATCTTTGTTCATCTTGAAGTGTTGAAGTCAACCTTACATAATGTAGAACACCCAGCTCAATATTCACCGGCACCGAACAATAGCAGGGCCCAGCCCATCCCTGTACGTAGCGTCCTCGCTTTTGGCTTGACCAGATTTGATAGTACTTGCGCATTGTAACCTGCAGGTAACAATGAAAAATGTTTGAGGTGGTGAATGCAGCGGGGTTCTAATTGTATGCTTGACAAGTTGAGGCATGCCATCCGGAACCCTCCATCTCTCTCTTCTCCTACTTTCACCGCCTCCGCGTATACCCCGACCCTCCTTACAAACACCAGAACACGCGAATTCACAATATGTTCGCTACACTCTTTTCAGTCACTCTCTTTGTCGTACTTGCCATCCAAGGCGTATTTGCTGACCTTACGATTGACACTCCCAGCCTCACTCAGGTAATCCGTCTAACTATACATGACCTCTTAGGGTGCTGACTTACTTGCGCTAACTTGAAATTAGTGTGGAAGTGTTCAAATCACTTGGACAGCGTCAAGCCCTCCCTACAGCCTTCTTGTAGCTCCCGCAGATGACCTCTGTGGCGAGGCCCTGTGTGTTTCTTTGAACCTCCTCTGGCTCATATGATCTTACGTTCTTGGTATGTAGCGTTGACCTTGGTCAACAGGCCGGTCTTTCATATCAATGGAACGTCGCCCTTGCTGCCGGCACTGCAGCTGTCCTTTTCATCGAGGACTTCCAGGGAAATGAGGCTTGGAGTGGAACTGTGAGTGAAGTGTTTTCCTTTATTCAATGAGGGATTTTATTTAACACAAATACCAGATGACGGTGGGAGCTAGCAGTGATTCGTCATGCCTGACCAGCACCACATCTCATAATGCATCTGCCGTTTCTGGCACTCTGTAAGTTTTCATGTCGACAATTGACATGCGTGAAGCTAACATCTGCGTTGACAGGCCCACAACCCCTGCCGCGGCTGCTGAATCCACAACTTCTCCATACTCTCCCGCTGGCGCTGCTAATGCGGGTCTTGCTCCCTCCGGTGGTGCCTTGTCCATCCGCCCTCTCAGCGCTTTGACCTCCGTTGGTTCTGGACTTCTGGCCCTTTTTGCATTAGTTCTATAACAGCCTTGATACCCATCCGTTTACGACGGGTGATACCCTGCTGACTGATTTATTCAAATATCCTGGTGATCACACGAATATATTTATCTTAGACACGTCCTTCCACGCACGGAGCTGGGTTTTCTTTCCTTTCTTTTTTTGATTGGTGATTTATAGTAGATGCTCGAAGTGTTGCTACTATTTCACTGGATGCGATGAGTTTTATATCCTGGTCGACTGTAGTTTGGAATCAATCTTGTACCATGTTTCTGCGGGTCATTTGAGGTCTTGGGAGGCCCATCCGAGTCTAGTTCGAAAGCGTTCCATGCAAATCACATGTTTGGAACCTGACCGGGTTTCACCACAAATTAATTATCATAACGCGGGCCACTACGTCATTGGACATACCGTCCGATGCAAGTATAGGGGAATGAATAATTCATCCGCCAGCGCTCCGCCAATATTGTTATGTAACCTCCCTCCAGTTTATGTTAATATCTTCGATTCATTTAATAGTTATACGAGATTTCGGGACAAATATAATTTTACAGATACATATGTGCGTCACAAATAACTTATTGGAATAAAGTAAGTAACCATCGAAGTGATAAAGTAGCGGAGTGTGAGTTATAGAGTACACTCGCAGCGCTTGCTGCGAGCTGCTGTAGGATAGGTACGGTATGTGGCTATAAAGTGGCAATCGGCCAAAAACAGTTATAGGAATGTAGGTAATATTATGCCAAGAAAGGGCCGCGTGAACCTGGCCGACTGTGCTGTGTATGCCCGCGTACACAGCCGGAACGCGGGGATCCTTGCTCAGCGCTCATGTCCGATAGAGTACTGATATCTAAGTGACGCAATATAACTGGATGCGGTGCATTAGGACCTAAACCAGGGTTTGAGGCACATACAGGAACCGACCTCAAGCGTCAGGGGAAGTGGAAATCTCCACATGTTCAAGTCCGCGCCAGAGCTCGCCAGATCTGCGAGCGGGTGCCCCTCCGTCTCGTGCTACCTCTTCGTGCTCGATCCCCTCCCAGAGCTCACCGGACCGCCGGGAAGGAGCAAGTCTGCCTGATGAGACTGTCAGTAAAAGATTCCGACTAGACATGTTTGAGAGATCACCTTCTGCAATGGCTGTTTGTGCAGGTGCTGCAGTGACCCTCTCATGAACGTTGTTCTTCCACAGAGCACCAACAGGGGTAACAGTAGAGGTGGTATCGGCGGTCACTGTCGCCGCTGGAATAGCAGCACCGAAAACAGAGAATGTGAGAGCAAGAGCGACTGTGAAGCGAGTAAAAGAAGTCAACATAATAGTAATGAAATTAGGTTAAAGATATGTGTTGGTGTGGATGAAGTTAAGATTAAAGGACTGTAAAGATCCAAAATGCTTGAAGTCTTCAAGCCATTTATACGAATGACTTTGCTTGGCAAGCACAGTGCGAGAGGCCCCGTTGACAACCAGTACGAGTCATATCGGGTCAATTCTACGGTGAAAGCACTGTTCATGCCGAATCAATGATAACTCTCATGAACGGAATAGGCAGTGAGTCGTGAACAATACCTGTTCCGAGAGGCATCAACGTCACCTTTTCATAGAACGAGGCAATCCGACAGCCTCAGCCACAGATTTTACAAAATTCATTCTGTACCTATCGCACGGAGCCGACTGACAGAAATAGCGCTCGGGAGCATCGGTATGAAGGCTCAGGGCTCTGACCGGGGCTTGATGAAACGCCTCAATCGCGGTTGTCAGGGATAGTAAGCCATGCGCGGGTGAAGAGGCCCTAGCGCGTGCAGAAATTATGTTGCTCGGTGTCCTGACATATTAGCAGGTGGCGAAAGGAGCTAACGGACCGAGCAGTGTGAGCAAAAGGTGACGGCATTTAATAATGATGCCATCTGACTCGAAAGATGAAATCCCTGCCACAAGAGTAGTCAAGACCAAGTGTCGTACACTGCCAGCATCCTCAGGCTGTGTCCAACTCACCATGAACACGAAACCAGTGTTGATGTCTAGTTTTGCTAGTCAGTTGTTGCAATGATTGTGAAGACCAAGAACGGAAGATTCAAAGAGGCCATGATTTGAGAAAGCTGTAGTACTAATGTTGGGCACAAGTGCTCAATGGAGGGCGGAATGATTAGTTAAACTTGGCTCAATCAATACTTTGTACTTTCTAAATTTGGTATGCGGTCCATTACTAATGATATCAGGCGGAGTCCTAACGGACTGTGAAATCTGGCGGCACGCTAGCGGCCGCATCGCACCAACGATCGTTTGTATCAAGTTTCAAATTTCAGCGTTCAACCGCATGACGACGATGGTTGCGATTGAATTCTTGTCACTTCCGACAGAGCTGATATGTCATATTCTATCCTTTCTTACTCCCAGGGATCTTTGTCGCTGTGCAATGGTCTGGTCTTTCCGTGATTATCATACATGTTTATCCTATGCTAACTTCCATTTGTGGCTAGACGTGTAAAATCGTACGGAATGCAGCTCAGAATTCTATCCACGTCCAATACAAGCTTGAGCTTTATGCTCAGGGCTTCACCGAGACAAGAAATCTAAATTCGATCGATGTTGACAGCAGGATGTCCTCACTCAAGAGATTGGCAACCTTATGGTCATCTGTTTGCCACGCCAGTATTATTTTCGAAGATACAGTGCGTGTCGGGAACCACTCATCAGAGGTACATGGCATGAAATGCAGGATTTGGTGGATGTGGGTCAATGGCAATATCTTCATTCGGGACTGCAACACAAATATCAAACTCTCTCATTCGTTCCCCATACACGAGCAGTTCTTCCAGGATCGGTTGCCGAGATCGGTGAGAGCGCTTGTTGTCGATCCTATTCAGGATCTTGTGGTCGTAGTCCCCTTTCCTGATATATGCATCGTGACCGGTGCCGAGCAAAATCGCCATATCTTTTCGGTGGATTTTCTGTCGGCTCCATCCCTGCTGCCACATCCAGATTCCTTGGATGCTTCCTTGAAGTGCCAACATTCTTTTGAGGAATCTGGCCGTTACCGTGTCACTTTAACGCAAGACCCTGTAATATGCGGGGATCGTATAGTTGTTTGCTATCACACGATGTTGGATCCACCAGGAATAGTGAGGCCCAACCTGTTTATACAAGTGATAGATTGGAGGAAAGGGCGTGCGAAGAGTGTAAGTTGACTTTACTTTTGAAACCCTGCCGCTCAGCATAAGCAGTATCCTTTACGTGAAGATGTTGCGGGTTTCCATCTAGTCGACGAACAGAAGTTTATTGTCATCGACACCCAGGGCATCATAACTTTGTACACATTAGAAGAACATGGATCACCTCTGCGCCGAGTCATGTATCACCTTCAGGAATCCGTGCGTGCGCCGTACTACCTATTTCATGCCACCCCATCGTTCCATGGTGCAACGGCTTGTCCAGATCTTGAGCCCGCCTACGTGCCCTCTCCGGAGTCGCAAATAATTGTTTTGGAGACTCTCACAAACGCATGCCCCGTTATTCTGGTTATCGATATGGTCATCTTCTCAGGAAAAGTCTTGCACTCAGAGACGCCTGTCGAAGTTCCCTGGTCGGAGTGGGGACCCCAGTATACGTGCTGCTTTCGGCATCATCCAAGCTGTCGAATCAGCGTGTTTGGCAGCAAAATAGCCTATGCTCTTCCTCGCTGTGCCCAGCCTTGGGAACTCAACTATAAAGTCGGAATAAGGCAAGCGCTCGACGATCATAATCGTTTCTATGTATACATCTTGGACTTCAATCAACGAGCCATCGCTCGTTCAAAAAATATTTACGACCCCGACTTACCCACCCACTTTCTATGCAAGCCTTTTGACCATTTCGATGTACGCTCCATCTCGACTCGTCCTTACATTGTTACCGTCTGCCGTGCTCGATTTTCGCCCATCTGCTTGTCCGGTTTATTCTTGGAACACGATCGACTTACTCTGACATGGGTAGGTGTTCTTAATTATGGATTTAGCGATGGTTCAACTAGGCCAAACCATAGTTGCGGAATGGCACGGTTCATATTCAGGTCGTTTCTTCTACAGGTGGAGCTCGATTCGGATCTTGTGCACTAGGATATATATCAGCAGTCGAGGGTGGCGGGGGTTATGATGAATGTCGTTGTCGTTTTCTTCCAACCTAACTATACTTTACCTCGACAGCCTTGTGTACTTCATTTATTCCCGCGGTTCGTGTTTGGGGTAGTGTGGATAGAAGTGTAAGTGATTGGATCTCGCTAGTTGGGTGCCATACTCATTTAACAATTTTTCTACGAAAACCAGGTGTGGGAATGTTCAAATAATACTTTTCAATCCCTCGATTCAGTGCCTCCTCGAATGAATGCTTCTTTCATTTTTTATCGCGCAAGGCACGCGAGACTCGTGCCCAATCACCACTGCTTTAGGAATCGACGATCTTGTCGTGAACGGCGTACTCAAATAAAAATCCTCCAACAGGACTTCCAGTGCGTTTAATAACCGCTAACGTCTCGGTGAGCACTGGTTAACCAACCAACTACACCGACTTACGTTGCCAAGAAGCTACGCCTTCGTGAATAGTGGGTTGCCGAAGACCTCCAGCGAATGTCTGTTGTGGTTCGTTTGCCCTATGATCTATTGCACGAGCTGTGGTGAAGCAGAAATGGTAGCTTGTTTAAGGACAAGTCGAGTGATCGTGTTTACCTCGGCTGGGCAATGCTTTCTCGTGGACATTTAGTTGCCACAAGGCACTATCGGCTGGCGTTGATCGGGCCTCCGCCGCATTTAGAACAGCTCGAACTGTGAGTGGTCAGTTCAAGCAGTGAACAACGAGCAATAATTTTTTGCCTCTATTTGCAACGATATTGTCGTGGACGGTTGGCACCGAATATGTTCCTGACACTGCTATTGCAACGTTCACATATAGCTGCAAAACAGATATTCCGAGATCTTCACCTTCTATATCAGGGGTAAGTTCATTCTACAGGTTACCGGTATTCATCTGAGCCATAAAACAGTACTGACCTGTGTCTCTAACGATAACAAGGGCAGCACACGGAATAAGAAGTATCCATACAGTGCAGATCAGAGAGAGAATGTTGGAGTACATCATGATGACGGTTGCGAGAGGTATGGCCTACGATCTTGATGGAAACCTCTTCTACAATCGAGCTGATCTTATAGCAGAACCCATGACTCGTGGACGTGAAGCCTTTGCAACTTTGAGAAATTGGGCTCGGTTCCCATTGAAAACTTCTTCCAAGGGTCTTCGTAAATCTGCTCCGAGCTCCATATTAGCTGCGCTTCGACGATGGAGCGGTGCCAGCGCGTAGGTAGTGCGCTCGATATATTGGAAGCTCGACTGCTTCGGCAGGAGTTCTGAAGTAGTCCTTCATACTATCGCAGGGCCATAATGTCTGACAAGCGTCCTTATCTTTCACATTGTAAGGTTCCGTACTACAGGCCATCGAGCCAATCAGTGGCTAATACATATTATCTTATTGTGCACTAAACAGATTATCTGATATTCATCCCACTTCCAAAGGCAGCCCTGTGTGAGTCTACTCCGTTCCACATCAAGACCCGTGTATTATTAAAACTGGTCATAGCCCATCGTATTGATCGGGACGAGGCAGATGCCGGGTATCCGTGGAGTCGAGCAGTGGCTTCAGTGCCATTGATGCAGCTCGGAGCCGGTTGGTCATGATCATCAAGCAAAGCCCGTTGATCGCAAGGAATGCAACCAAGGCAATACCGATGCACCATGGCGAGGTGAACCGTTTTGTGTTTGGGGTGCACACCCCATCCACTTCAAGCGAGATTTTACTTTGTTCCTCTTCCTCCTCTTCGGTTCTTTGTGTGAGCGGGGTATATTCTTTGTTGCTCATCTGATTGAATGTTGCAATCTCGCTGCTGCGACAATCGCGTGTATCGTCTGTCAGTCATCAGATGTGTGTTGTATTTCTCGGGCTTACCTAGCGCTGGCCAAGTGACAGGTTTGGGACTGAATAGATGGACGGGGTATTTATGCGGCTGAGAAGTTGGTCTGTGTCTTATTTTATTCCAAAACCTTGAATTAAAAAAGTTATTGTGCTCACGGCTTACAAAAAGTGCGCCGACATACTGCCATTGTGCCATGATCCATCTGATGCCGTGCCTTCCCGGGAGTCGCCATGATTGATTACCGCCAGTCTAACTGAACATGTGCCACACAGCATCTCCGAGTTACAGCACCCGCGCCGCAGATATTACTGCATTCATTTCACACGGAAGTTTACGATTGGGCTCTGCTAGGATAACTGATGGCATACTTATCAGGACTTATTGTAAGTTACTCCTGGGTGAGATTTAATCTTAACTTGGGATACTTTACCTGGTGAACGTTCATCCTGGGAGTTAGCGTTGACAACTCTCGTGCACAGTACTTATCGTTATGGCACTGCTCTGCACTATCCAAGTCCACCGGATCAGTTCGATCTGGGAATTCACGATAACGCCTGTCCGTCAGATATAGCAATGAACGGCACAGCAGTTCGTTCTCGGCACCGCACGATGCGGCTATATGTGTATCAGTTCACAGAAGCCCCTTGGATATGAACTGTTTCTACCATCTAAAGTCATAATGTCTTACTTGCGACTCGGACGCCTTCCACATACTTCTCCAGTATCGAGGTGGTCTTTGCGGGACCCCTCTAATGTCGTCTCCGCTTGCATTTCCGTTCTTGTGCTGGTCACGATAGTCAACGTGATCTTTACATTACACACTGTTTCTGTTCTCAATGAGCTCCTTCCCCAGACCCCTCACGTTCACTGTACGTCAACTGCGCTTTTACCATTTCAGGCCTGAAATTGACCTGACCATCTCGTTCACAGCTTATGTGGGTGACGACCACCCCTCCCAGCTACCACTAGAGCTGACATCCGTTGGTCTCGAACTCGAGAGCGGCGAAGGTCACTTTTCATTATACGATGATGATGACTGGGGCACGCTTTTCCCCTCAGACGGGTTTGTCGCTCTGGGCCCGAATAACCGCACATTCCTAGTCTCCCTCTACCATCAATTCCACTGCCTAGATATCATCCGCGTCGGCTATGTGGTGAATCGCACGCATGCTGCAGAGCATATCCAGCACTGCTTGCGATATTTACGGCAGGCATTGCTGTGTAACGCTGATACCACACTGGAAGTGGATATTCCACAAATATCTCCGGACGATGGGAAGTTGTATCACACTGCGAACGGGGTGGGTTCGGTTCACAGGTGTAGGGATTGGACGGTATTGCGGCAGTACATGCTAGAACACCCAAGTACGCCGTTCGAATAAGGGGAGTGGGGTCATGTGCGATGCTTTTTGTAATGCCAAATTGATAATTCTATTAGCTAGATACGTCAAAGATACGTCATAATTAATTTCTGGTGTGTATGTCCAAATACACCACCATACCACTACAACAAGGTTCAAGATACCTTTAGTATCAAGGTGTTATACAGGCGAAGCGCTTTCGTAATGGCCAGCAGGCCCCATCTCGACCTCTGCAATCTCAATCTCCTCGTGACGCTTCATACGGGTGAGATCGAAGTCTTTCATCCGAATATCCATATCGGTTTCGACCATGCTGTGTTCGACAGTGAATTGGGTACCCGTAGTGCCTGTGTCGCCTCCACGGCGCGCGATCCATTCAATACGAGTGGACGTTATTGCCTTGGTGGTATGCTCTGATGAAATTCCCAAGCTAACCCGAATAATAATGAGGGTAGGTGCGATGCCCTAAAATGGATGCGTAAGTAAGCAAAGAGCGGAAATTAAAATTTGGTACTCACGTATACTTGGGTGGCAATCACCGCCACGATACCTTGTGAGGGGTGTTGGATCGAGAAGAGTACGACGAACACGAATTGTGTTATAAGATAGAGGGCACCACTTTCGATGATGAGCATCATCGCGCGATGGGAGGCGCCTTGGCCGATGACTATAGGCGATTCTTTCACAACACGAGAGGAGATCCAGATGCGGTAAACTATAAGAGAGGTGACGACGAAATTGGTGGCAAGAGGTAGGATATATCCTGCGAGCCCCAACCCCACCGTAGCGGGGGGAGGGGCAGGTGCAGTGGGGTCCATCGTAATGACAAGGTGGAGTACCTCCATTATACAAGCTATTCGAATTTGTCACTGACTTGTTGATTACTCGAAGCAGGAGGACGTACCGAAGCCACCGAAGGCAGTAAGAAGGGGAAGTATGACTACATAGTAGTTCCTATCCCAAAGCATCCAGCAGCGGTAGACGAGAACTAGGTCACCGACGAGATCCGTGAACGAGATAAGGAAATCTGCGCCCAAAAGACCAGGAGTCTCCGCGGAAAACCCATCGACGCCTGTTGACTCCTATCGAGAAAATTGGTATGAGGATATATGTATTTTCTAACGATTTGATAGGGAAACCCACAAGAGTTGTATAAAAATGATTGAATTCGAGTGCAAAATGTGCAGTGCAGCAGAAAAAGAGCAAACAGTTGGCAAAAACAACAGGGCTACTAAGGTTTGGCGAAGGTCGTTTTTGACTCAAGACTATCCATGAGACGATGAAAAGAATGCAGTAACTGCCTGTACGTGAGCGCTCGCCAGTGAGTATTCACTGAAAAACCCGTTGGAACTTGTGGAGTCCTTACCATACAAGACTGCCTCACAACCAAAGCCAATCAAAGCTGCTATATCAGTTGGAGAGCCTGACATCGCATAGAACAGCCTTGACAGTAGTGAACAGGTATTGTGTTGGTATGATGGTGCTGGCGGTGGTCAACGAAGGGAGCGCGCAGCAGCCTGAAGGCACGGAAAGAATGATTTGTTTTCATTCTGATGATCAAACCGAGAACCTCGTGAGATACGGCCAGCGGCCGGGTGGACACACATGGTAGTTTATTAATACCAAGCACCTAATAAGGTTAAGAAGTACTCTCGCAGCATGCGTCTACTTCCATTCAAACTCCGCGGCTTCATCCTAGGTGTCCTAGTACAACCGGGCGGGCAAAACGAAAAATCACATACTAGTTGTAGAAAAAAAATTGGTGACCTCTCAGTCATTGAACCACAACTTGAAAGTCGTTGTGAATCGCGGGAGACTCGTACCGAGTTCATGTCGGTCGAGTGCGGCCAGTCTGAGGCGGCGCTAATCTCCTTCTCACATTAAGTTAGCTTGTTGTCATCAGCGTCTGATGGCCATTGCTCAGCCTTTTTTGGTCGATGGCCTTAATCCTCCTTCGTCCTCTCATGCCTCTTCTGAGAGTCTGCGGGTCGACCATCTTCGCTTTCATTATATGGAGGCTCATTAAACGTCTTCGTGCTCTAAACTCTCCTCTCACTCACATCCTCGGACCAAAGAAAGAGCATTGGCTCAAAGGTAGATACGCTTCTATGGCGATACCACGCTTTAATCTTGAGATGTGTCAGGCAATTATCACCGTATATTCCAAGATGGTCTGCGGTATAACCTTGATTTGGTTCAGAAATACGGCGGGGTAGTCAAGATTTACGCCCTTCTTGGGGTGAGCTCCCTCATTTCGGATGTCTTATGTCCACTTTACCCGAAATTGTCTAGCAAGAGCAACTGTACATATCAGATCCACTTGCTTTGCATCACATCATTGTGAAAGAGCAAAATGTCTACGAGGAGACCGATATGTTCATCATGTGAGTTTGACAAGTGCTTATGCCGTGTAAGCTGATAACACCGCCGCCTGATAGGAGCAATCGACTTATCTTTGGCGAAGGCCTTATAGCTACTCTTGGTGAGTATACAGAAGACTTACTTAACGAAGCGTGTGTATATCATCCTATTTCAAAGGCGAACAACACAAGAAGCAGCGTAAGATGCTAAATCCAGTATTCTCTCTCGCAAATATGCGTGGTTTGCTGCCTGTAATCCAGCCTATCGCTGATCAACTACGCACGATCTTGAATGCAAAAATTCCAGCTGATGGCTGTAAGTTGCGTAATATTTGTTCGAATATCGTTTGTTCACCTATTTATTTGCAGCGGTTGCGGAGGTCAACTTACTTCCGTGGTTGTCGAGGGGGGCATTGGAATACATATGTCAAGCAGCGATCGGACACTCATTCAATGCACTTGATGCGACAAAAGGAAACGAATACTTGGAAGCCATCAGGACACTTGCGTGTGTGATTTGTTTGTTCCCACCAACACTCCTGAAACTAATCCTGACAGACCATCCACACTTCGTCTAATCTTCCTCCGTCCGTTTATTCCAATGTTTGTGCGACGATTTTCCTTGTATTGGAGGAACAAGATGATGGATTGGGTGCCGGGTGACGCATTGAAAGATCTTCGTCATGTGGTAAATGTGATGGACACCACCAGCAAGAGGATTTTCACCGAGAAGAGAGCAGCCTTAGAGAATGAAGGCTTCGTCGGAATCGCGGGGAATCGCATGCAAGGAAAAGATATAATGAGTATCATGCGTCAGTCACCTTCTTTTCACACACGTAAACGTTCCACTAATGAAATGGCTACTGCCAGTGCAAGCCAATGCGTCTTCTTCCAATGACGATCGATTGACAGACGCGGAATTGCTGGGCCAAATGAAGTGGGCGTTATTTACATACCCTGCCAGCGTGAATCCCAGACTCAGTATCCTTTTAGCACGATCATCTTTGCGGGCTTCGAGACCACTGCCACTGCCATATGCCGCATTTTTTGGATCCTGGCCCAAAAGCAGGACGTTCAGGCACGACTACGAAGCGCAATCCGCCAGGCTAAACGAGACTATGCGGATGCGCAAGGCCTGTCTAGCCCTTGGGAAGACGTAGAATTACCCTATGACACGCTTATGGGGCTGCCTTATCTAGATGCCATAGTCCGTGAAACACTTCGAGTGTATCCACCGACTTCTCTTCTCAGCCGAACGTAAGTTTATCTTGCAACACCACCTGAAACACTCACCAAACATTTTCGTTTCGGCTGCATTTTAGTGCTCGTCAGGCTTCCATTCTTCCATTGCACCAGCCAATCAAGTCTGCATCCGGCGAAATGATTTCTTCGATCCATGTTCCAGAAAATACGACGCTTATAATTTCTATCTTGGCTTCGAATCACAACAAGGAGATTTGGGGCGAGGATGCCTCGGAATGGCGTCCAGAACGATGGTTGTCACCTTCTGGCGAGCGCCTTCACCTTGGAGATGGCGAAGGTAACTCCACGAACGGTGCAAGTCTGGGAGTCAAGAATGGCATCAAATATCCTGGCGTGTATGGTTTGATGTAAGTGACAGAAAACTTGTGGTGTTACAGAAGGGCTGAAACCCGTGGTCAACGCAGGATGACGTTCCTCGGCGGCGGTCGTGCTTGCATGTGCGTAATGTATCGTTTTGTAATGCGTGCATAGCCATTGATGTTATTGATGTAGCGGTTTCAAGTTTGCGGAGATGGAAATTAGTGCGCTCTCTTGTCCTTTCCGCATGCAGAGATGAACTAAGTTATTACAGAACAAGTCGTCACGACCCTCATCCCACGAATACATTTCGCGCTGCCTGCATCGACAGATAGAAATGGACACGTCAAGGAGATCTACTGGAAGATGAACGGGCTACAAGTTCCGGTAGTACGACCACCAGCCGGGGACAACGTGACAGCTCAAGTTCCATTGGACCTAAGAAAAGTACGCGAGCAAGACTTCGTAGTGAATTAGCCAAACTAGCTCGAGCAGGTGAAGACGTACACATTTGCACATTTGAGTGCACCTGCATGCTACACAATGCAATCTAATGTACATCTTGAGAAGCACGAGACTTCTGAAACCTTGGTATGTAGTAAGTAAAACTAGGGTTAGCTACCGCTGTTCCTCGTTGGTAATAGGGTTGGTGAGGCGTCCCGATTCCGTTTGTGAGCTCGCGGAGACCGCGAACGTGAGCTTCGTCTTCGTCGGGCGCGATGCTGCTCATCATCGATGTCATCAAGCTCGACATCCTTCGTGCGGCTTCTGGACTTTGGTGCCCTTCTATCTTCATCCATCTTAACTTTATCACTTTCGCCCGTCTTAGCCTCCACTCCCTCGTCTTCGCTTCTCTTTTCGTGTTTCCTCTTCCACATGATCTTGCGCACGCACTTCGAACACAGAACGACTTTCACAAGGGCTTCTTTCCTTTGACCGTGCTCTTCATATGTAAATGGCAGCTCAAGAGTCGTAAGTGAAGTAGAAGACGCGGCGTGTTCAAGACAGCGAGCGTTCGCGCATGTCGTCTCGCCCGTTCCAGAGAGAACTTCTGTTTCTGTGCGCCAGCGGAGACTGAACTAGACGATCGATGATCAGCCCACCGAACGCACGCAGTAGAGAGGCGAAAGGCATACGTTTCCTGACCTGTAATGCTTGAGATCGCAAATCGCGAATTCGCGGTAGAGACTTTCGTAGTATTTCTGCGCTAGCCGGTCGTTCCATGATGTACTGGCTTCTTCGTCTGCGCCATCTCGTAGGAACCTTTGAGAAGATGTGAAGAGGTGACTTGGAAATTTGGGCGCTTCTTACTTGTGTGAGGCTTTCAAAATGTCGAACTCTGTGACTGGAGTTGGGGCAGCAGCAGTCGTCTTGCGATTAGAGACATATGGCTTGTATAATGCTGACATATGAGATGGGAATGGGTTCGCGGTAGCTTAGTAAGGTAGATTGTTTAATTTGGCTAGTCAAAATAAGCTTTCGGGCAACTCAACTTGAAGTTAACTTGACTCGGAAGGGCAGGGGGGCATCGGTAAGAAACGTTTCGTTATTGTATTCAAGCCATGATGAATACACTGCTAGGTGACACACAGGTGGCCAGGTAATACGACTAGTCATCGCATTCTTCATGCACACTTGAATCACATAACGACTCTCGCCGAAATCAAGAAGTGGCTACATTCTTGGTAGGACTGCCCTCGTGGCTACACTTTGGCTCGAGTCATAAATACAAAGAATGTCTTGTCACGAGGCTGACTCTCTCACTCGATTATACCCAAACACTGGCGCGTTGCCGAAATCACAAACGGTTCCCGGATCTTTTGCGTCGTTCGAACATTTCGCGCGCCGAGTCACTGCATTATCAGAACATCGGCGGGCGCGTAAGAGAGCATCCGAAAGCCACAGAGGCCCAATATACAGCCAAGCGCTATTTTTACCGAACTTTTTGGAGCTAGTTTGACACGTACGTGTATTGCCCATGTCCATATCTTGTTTGAACGCTCTCGACAACCTTCCAGTGAACTTTACTAACATGCTTTCAATGATACAGTTCCAGCAAGTACTCGAAGCTTTTGCGCGCCTTGATCGTTTCGGAACTTTAAAAGGTACCAAACTTCCGAAGTTATTTCAACCACATGTCATGTATTATTTTCGGCAAGGGAAGATTTTTTCTTCCTTGCTGAGGCTGTGAGGGTCCACTGACCATACTGAAGAACACTGGCACGTTGTCGAAATCACAAATAGTTCTCGGATCTCAAATGTGGCATTTCGCGCGCCTAGTCACTGCATTACATGTCATCAACCACTGCCACTTTGATCTCATTGATTAGTATCCATGGATGCACATTCCCTTTCTACCTGAATTCATCCTGAAACACTGTAAGTACTGGATGGCGGTATATCAAGCACGAATGCGATCGTTATACTTCCACCAAGTTCCCCCGTTAGCTTATTCTCATCCTCTAACATTATGGTCCTAGTCTCGAATGATCCTAGTTGGTGGTCAACCATTAATGCGGAACTTATTGGCAGCTACTTTTCAGGTTTGTTCAGAGCCAGCCGCATGATGACTGTGATGACTCGATTAACCTTGGCTGCGGTTTCACAGTTGCCGCCTGTGCTGCGGTAATATACGATTGGGGTGAGAAATGTTAAGTATAAAAAGACCACTAACATTATGGAACTTCTAGGACTTACGTTCGGACAAGAGGTAGGTCGACACCATTACAGGAGCAGCCATCTCACTGACAACATCTTTATAGGTGGAACTGGTCTGGGTGAGCGGACTCCCACATCAAAAGCACGATATGAAAATACCACAACTAATTTGCGGCAGAGGCAACGGTGGTCCATGATGACCGTTCTGTATCTTGTTGTGTGTAGCTTTTTTTAAGCGTGGTTAGCAAGTTGACTCACGCGAACTCATCCTAGGCACGATACCTTGGAATAGGACTTATTGTGTACGTTTCGACGTCCAAGTCATTGGTGTTGCGCTCATTACCCATCTCTCACGATTAGGATCAACATGTTGAGTATGTCTCCTCGCATAGATTCTGTTTCTTTCTTGTGACGTGAGGCATACAGGCAATCTTCCAACATTTTCGATGACAAATTTAGTGAGTATTCCACTCCGATGCTTTCAATTCCTGTCCAAACGACTGAACTACCATGTAGGGGTGAGTTGTATTCCCGAACAACTCGTTGATTCAACATAACAGCTCCAACAGTTGTGAGTTTGTTTTATGCCTTTGATCCTCAGAAACTAGTAATTGATGTTTGGTGGATTTATCAGGCCTTATCATGTACGACGCATTTAATTGGACGGGTGACGTTGTAAATGTAATACTGGGCAGTCAGTTATGCACCTCCCTGATTGTGTGATATTGACTTGATTGAAATATCATGCAAGTCATCATGATCGCTCGGTTGCATGCCATGTATCAGCGATCTAGAAAGGTGCTGATATTCCTCGTTGTCACCTTTCTGGTCATCAAAATTGCTAGTGTAGTGATGATCACAATAATGACGATACAGATTTCATGGGGTAAGGTTTTATAGTGTATGAAACATTCAAGTGCATCAGGCTCATTAACAAGTACCAGAGGAATTCGTTCTCTCCGGTACCTATCTGTGCAGCATTGACTTTGCGAGCGATTCTAAATTTCTGAGTCCCACGACTTGGATACTTGGCATTGTATGGGAGGTCCTTGCACTGTGTCTCGCAGTCTGGATTGCTGTGAAGCACTTCTGTGAACTGCGAAGACACTCAGCAGGAGGTACTATCAGGGACTGTTTCACGGTGTTAATGCAAACTCACATTAGTTACTTTGCAAGGTGAGCTCATAATGTGGATGTGATTCTCTTGTTCTGCTGAAGTTTTGCACGTGCTAGTTTTTTGGCTGTCTCTTGCTTGGAAATGGCTATATTCTCTCCATTGCTCTCAGCGGTATGCCGATCTGTCACTGACTTCTACGTGCGTTAACGATTCATCAATTCTATAGGATATGTATTCCCTGGGCGCTCGGATTTCTATTGGTTTCGCTCACATCTTCGAGGTGGTTCAGATGTCCGTGCTGGGACCACGCCTCATCCTTGGCGTTCGAGAATATCACGCCAAGCTCGTGGCCGACTCCGATACAGCAAGCGCTATGAATTCAATCGCTTTCCAGGAACGTGTCCATGTGGAAACTAGCAGTAGCGTGTAGTACGGGAGATGTTCGATGTGATTTACAATCAGTGGATAGTCTGTAGTGAGCGGTCTTGTTTCTATTTATTCCAAGTTTTGTCGTCGTACTACTTGCTTAAGTTATTGGAAATATATCTGAAAGAGACATACTCTGAACAATACATCCTCGATTTCCAATCGGACTTAGCCTAGTTTTCCTGAATTATTAGTCTTTTGATGAGCTTGTGCGATAACAAAGTTCCCATTGGCTCTGTTGTCTGAAGTGACATTCTCACTCGTACCGCTTACTATTTAATCAGCTTCGCAATATGTGCTTTCGTACCCTCCCTCGGTGAATCCGTGAGTTGACCTTCATGAGTTGACCTACTAAGTACTAGCTCTGCGCTCTGGCGTAGTTGTCCAGCCTAACTTCAAGGCTACTTGAGTCGGATCAATTTCTCTAATCAATACTTCATTCTATTTGATATGCATCAAGCTGATTATAATCTGCCTTAAATATCCTTCCTAAATCATATCCATATGCATATACATGACAGTGCACACGATATAAGCGAGTAGTTAAACCAGCACCAAGACTCTCTTCAGAAACTAACCTCCGTCCGTCTTTTCAAAATCACCGATGACTACCCTTCAGTCTCTGGAGAAATGCCCATGTTACTCGCGTCAACGATGCGGTGGTAACGGCCACCCGCGCGTGCATCGAGCGGACGACGTTCGGCCAATGCCATATGTATGTACCATCGAAGTGTCTTCTCGGGACAGTACGGCTCGTCCATGTCGAAATACATGGGGCGCATGTGCTCTGGGCAGCTTGCGCTGCGAACAGGCGTTAAAGGATAACCATTAATCATTTCGCTGAGGACGGTCGGGTCCTGTTCATGCGAAATCTCATCGTATTGGGAGTATGGCCAGTAGGATTGTGGATAGGCTGGCACAGGAGTCGAGACGGCGTCCTGGGATGGAACCTCCCGAATATTTACGTGTGAGCTGTGTGCGGAGTGCGAGAGTGTTGGATTTAAGGCGCGGGTGGTGGGAAGAGGGGGAGCGGGAGCGGGGGGAGGATGGATATTCGAGCGATCAGTGCTCGACTTAGCACGAATACGTTCTGCCAGTCTGCCACTGTGAGTATGGTTGTCTGGGGTCCATCGTACATCCGCCGAAGTTGGTCAACAGTGGCCTCATGCTCCTGTTTTCTGTGGGGACCGGAAGGGTAGGCTTCTTGGCCACTTGTACCCGAATTATAGATAGGAATTTGGGGCTTTATATCCTTCGAGTTTAAAGAAAGTGCTCTGAAACCACGGTGAGGGAGGCCCTCAGTTGGTTCGGGGGAATGGGGAAACTTGGCCAGCAAGTCAGAGTCCGCGCGTGTGTCAACGTTTGCGCGAGCTGGCCCATGGTAGTAGGTATGTTGTGACAGTTTGCCATGATAGATGTCGAGTATCCCTGGAGCTTGCTTGACATACATGATGTCGGACTTTTTAAGGGGAGTCTTGCCACGGTATGCGGGTTTGGAAGAATCGTCACGAAGAGGCTCGCGCTTTCTCCCTTCTGAATAGAATCCGTATGGCATTGATTTGGAATGCTTAAGCGGCGCCTTCTGGTCGTCGTTAGACCTGAAGGGGGGGAGAGGTATATTGATTAGTATGATGACGATGAGTAGACCGCGGAGACTCACTTTTGGAACATTTTCTTGAACGAATTCATGATTGATATGGATAAACGAGGGATGTACGGTCGCAAAGAATATGAGGAGGTAGTGTCTGGTAGTGTAGAGAATCTGCATATCAGTATATATAGGTTCGGCTGCTGTGGATGCACCATGGCCACAACTGCAAAGCAATTTCTCAATATCCGAAAACGATTCAAATGTGGAGGCTATGGCAAATGTTCTGATTGCCCACCTATAGTCAAATCAATACTATCGTCGCCCCATCTGCATTACAAAGGTAGAATATGTGACAACGAACCAATTATGGGCACAGTTGCCACAAGCCAGTCCAATGAATTCACCACACATCCTGCTCATTGATGTCTCGAGCTCAAAGCTTGTGCTCAATGAAATTTCCGGTAATGACGTACAGCACGCTGGCTCGGATGCACGGGACACAAGGATAAGGCACGACACGCGCAGCGTCTCGCTGAAAAAACGGCCAACTTTTCCTTTTAGTTGTCTCACTTGACAAGACCATTCAGCATACCTTTAAAGCGTAGTGCATCCGACCGGCTATATTTTAGTCCAATTTGCTCAACATCAATAAAGATGCATGGAGTGCGTTCAAGGCTGACATCTCGAGCAATCTGAAGGCAATTTAAACAGTCAGACAAGCATTGATATTAAGTCTAACAGAGTTACACACATGATCACTATGGCCTTTGGTTTGCCTCGAAGATGGGCTCGGGACCGATAATAGCCCTGAATGAGGCTTACATCGTGGAAGTGCTGAGATACTCTAGCTCCTATCGGAATGAGCGGATTACTGCTCTGAGGCATGAAGGTCTAGTTACCTGTTTCATGGTCAAATCTGCAACTCAGCTTCACTTACTCTGACTGTACAATCCGTTCCCATGTATAGCATCAGAAAAGCCCTCACGGAGCTATGGTCGCCAATGGCTTTTGCTTTGGGAGGGCAATCAGAAGCTTTACCTATATTTCACTATGGGAGCGGAGCGGGTCGGTTAGCCTTGCCTTCCGACGCCGACAGAATTTCATTTGTATCGTCAGTTTCATAACCATGTTCAATCAGCGGATCGGAAAGACCTGAAAGAATGCACACTTCGTCTATGGGATCACGGATGGGAATTAGAAGATATCCGTAAAGCTCTTGGTGTCTCGCGCACGCCGCAGAAGCTATTTCGCTGGTGACGGATAGTTTCTTGGATTTGTTTTATTATAGATATACTGAGCTGAGTGTAAAGACACGAAACAAATAGCATCGTGTGATTAAAAAGTGTTGGTATGCTCTAGGAATTAAGAGCCTGAGGAATCATGTTGTAGACGGCTGTGCAGTGTGCGTGGCTTCCTTCAGGCTTTGTCATGACTTACATAATTACAATTGACAAAGGAGCCCTAACGCAGAGTCATTAGGATGATTCGTCTACTCGAGTTGGATACCTACAGGAGACGAGGGGCACATGGGCAGGTATCAGACATAAATAGTATGAATGTAGTGTAAAATCACTGTGAAAGTGAAGGGCTGCTGAGCGTAGCCCAGGCCTGAGTAGCTGTGAATTTGGCTAGAAAATTATCCATATCTGATACTGATTCCTCTGTTGGTGAGCCTGGTGGTTGTACCTGTCGGTTATAGGCTTCTGCATCAAGCACATTCAAACAGGCTACAAGGAAACGCCACATAAGTGCATTTGTGGGCGAGCACGCGGGAAGCTCTCTAAAACGCTGAAGACAGTACTTTGTCATGCCACATTCCACACCGTCTAAGCTCGCCCATTCATCGAAGGGGCGCAATCTCGGTGGTAGAAGGACTCCATTCTCGTAACGCAAGGAAATCCAGACGAAACACCACATAAACGACTCCAGATCATGGCGATATAAGTGTTTCACTTTGCCTCGTTGACCAGTGAGAAGATCGAGCGCCATGAACGGCATCGTTCTGGTGCGTTCGTTGCCCCGAGGTCCTGGGCCATCCGCCAACGAGGATAGATCGTAGTTGTTTAAAACGCCTGTCTGTTTCCCGTCTTTCCAGTACCACATCAGGTTTCCAGGGCTCACATCTTGATGACAGACCCCTTCCTTCCACAGAGCAAGGTGGCCTGCATACTATGTCAGCAACGAGCCATGTAAATTCAATGAAACACGTACACAAGATACACTGACGCCAGATGTCGAAAAGCTCTTTGCCCTGAAGCTCTGTGATTGGCTTGAGCTTCCGAAATACAAGAATGTAGAGCATGCGACTGGCCGTGGTAGAGTCTGGAACATCGAGCACTTCCCGGATGACAGATGCGGGATTCGTAAACGTGTGGTGCCAAAGGAGCTCAGGAACATGGTCTTGGACAGCTGCGTGCCTCTTAGTGGTCTCCTCAACCTTTTTCAGGATCCCCGGCTCGCTAGTGCGATTTGCCTCTCCCCAAAATATCTTGGCCACCATCCCATCCGGAAGGTTACCGTATTTCTTCGTGAGTGCCTCGCTAGTGACAGCGACCAAGTTGGTGGCCCGTCCTTGAAGTCCGTAGTGTGTCACTCTTTCGTCGTGGCTGGTGTTAAGCAATAGATCCGCCGTTCCGAGTTCTTTATTCTGGATATTGAATTCGCTGCATCGTTTCCCCCGAACTGGAACTGGGATGAAGTCCTTGTTTCGGCCCCAATCGTGAACCTTGAAGCGTTGTAAAGTATGCAACAGCACCATAAATCGCGGGAGATCTTGAATGAAATTGATACCTGAGCATTGAACGATCCCTTGCAGATCATAATACCAGATCCACATCACATCGTCTGAAAAAGTGGTGGTAAGACCGCGACCAATCTCAAGAGACGAACGAACCCACCGACGACAATAATGTTCAGAAGGTAATTGACTCCAAGATTGGCCGCAAAAATTTCGGCAGCGTACAGACCTGTCTGGACGGTGACATCTAGATCTGTGTCCGTGTCCTCAGGATTCATCTTAGATTTTTTCGCGGTGGATTCCAGAGTGTCTGCAGCTTTGCGCTTGGAGCTAGACCCGTCCTTGGAAGGTTGTGCAGTAGTAAGGCCGGAAGATTGGACTGCTGCTGGGCTGATTTAGTTTGATCTTGAAATCGAAAATGAAATCGCTTACGTGCAGTGTCGGACACAGGTTGTGTTACTGGGGTCTGCGAAGGGCCTGGCGTAGGGACTTCATCCTTAAGATGATCCACTGGCAGATATTCTGGCTTGGTAGGGACATGATCTGTCACTGTATATGTAGAGGGCGGTGGCTTAATCCCTTCCGTCCTCCCTGGCGTCTTCCTCTTGAACTCGACATCTTTCCAGAGGTGATTGTTCAGTTTTGCCGTTGCATTCGTGTCCATATGAGCCTTGAGCTTCGTATTGCGCTGCTCGTCATCCTTCTCGTCGTTCTTCTGTGTGCCCGTCTGTTTATCCTTCTTGCCGCCCTTTTCATCCTGGAAGAGAGCACATGCGCTATTCAAAGAAAGAATCGTGAGGTTCCGAGTTGATTTTTTAGTCTGGTGGTTTTGGTGCATGGGCATATTGTTCTGTTGGCAGATCACGGTGGATTAGGGGTCCCACAGGCATAGCATAGGAGAGGAACTCCGAGGCTTGGTCAGCAGAGTAGCATGGGTCGTTGGTCAGCAGGGTAGCATAGGTTGTCAGTAGCACACACACGGGCTGGTAGAGCATCTCTCTGACTCTTGGTTCGAGTCCAGTCACCCTGTCCAACAGCAGGGACAGGAGCACGCATCTTATGGATCTTGATCTCTTCAAGACAAGCGAGCGCAATGTTAGTGGCTCGCCGTGGAAGTTGTTTTCTACTCCTAGATGTACGCTTGCGATCGTTGTAAGCAAAAAGACGTCTGATCAACGAACTCATACCAAACACCCACTATTCGTTGAGGGCTGTCGTGACGTCAGAAGACTTTACTGACGTAGTTGAAGCCTGTCCGTTTCAAACCGGCAGAACTGCCTTGAGGCACCTTGGCAGGAGGTCGGGCTGCTTAGTCTCGGGAGAGGAAGAAGCGCGTTGTAGGAACGCTTGCAGCATGGCATCTGCATTGCACTCTTTAGCTTGCTCTATTTCGCATTGAATCTATAGGCGGACTTGCTTAAGCCTTGATGGGATGTCAGGTTCTACTCAATATAAACAGGAAATGTGCGCACTTGACGCCAAGCACCCCGATGTTCTCGCTGACGACGGAAGCCCCACGGCTGTTTGGGATATTACTAGAATCATGACCTGGTGCATTGGCGCGTGGCGGAGTATATGATGTTCTCGCCAGCAGGGGAAATGACACTAGGTGTTCAAATGATGACTACGCTGACTGAGTGTTGTGAGCAGAGCTAGTGATGGGGAGAAAACTAAGAGGACAAGAAAGACGACTGCTTCCTGATATCCGGTCGACCAATGTGGTCGAACATCGATCAATTCTAATGTGTCAGATCTTCAGATGCCCTAGACTGATGCCTGGTGGTTGTGGATCTACAATCCAGAATTTCCACCCCGGCGACGCGTTCCCATCGACAAGGGCACGTGACCCTGACTGAAATCGACTTCACCTTAGCCGTACCAATATTGAAGATCTGTCTATACTCTAGTACTATATCAATTCAAACGCATGTACTATATTTGACGGTTTTGGGACGACAGAACTACAAAGAATGATCTATGTAACATCCGTCCATTCCATGAGTAACTGACACAGGTAGCGAAACACATAAAACAATATGTAGTGTAACAACCACTATGAAGGTGAAGGGTTGCTGAGCTTAACCCACACCCTGGTACCTGTGAATTTGCCTAGTAAATCATCCATATCCGATACTGTTTCCTCGGCATCCATCTGCTCGTATGTTCCCTCCGTCAATCCTAGTTCAACAACGAGGTTCTGGTGCATGTCATTAACGCGATTGGAGTTAGCTGCCTGGAGCACCTGAAGACAGTCCACAATGAGAACCCATAAAGATAAATCTATGGCCGATTGAGAAGTTTTGAGGTCCGCGGGCAAATGATTGTAGGGATTCGTCAGAAAGTCTGACTTCTTCTCGCGACATGCAATAGCGCCTAAAGTCGCCCACTGGTCGAGAGGGCGCGATCTTTCCAGTAGGACTCCCTGCCTATAACGCAAGAAAATCCAGGCGAAAACCCATATAAACGATTCCAGATCGTGGCGATATAGGTGTTTCACTTTGCCTTGTTGACCCTCTTTGGTGAGAAGGTCGAGGGCCATGAACGGTACCGTGCCCGTACGCTCGTTTCCCTGAGGACCCAATGCATTCGCCAACGAAGATAGATCGTAGTCGTTTAAGACACCTATCAGTTTGTCGCCTTTCCTGTACCACATCAAGTTTCCAGGGCTGATATCTCGATGATAGGACCCCTTCCTTCCATAGAGTGAGATGACCTGCACGCCATGTTAACGAAGAGCCCCATAAGTGCGTCCAAAACACGTACATAAAATACATTGGTACCACGCGTCGAAAAGCTCTTTCCCGTGAAGCTTCGTGATGGGGTGGAGCTTGCGGAACACAAGAATGTAGAGCACCCGACCTCCCGTGGTGGGTTCAGGAACACCGAGCGCTTCTCGAATGGCGGACGTGGGATTCGTGAATTTGTGGTGCCAGAGCAGCTGCGGAATGTGCCCTTCGACAGTCGGGTGCCTCTTAGCGATCTCCTCAACCTTTTTCAGGATCTCCGGCTCGCTGGTGCGACTCGCCTCTCCCCAAAATATCTTGGCCTACCATTCCATCCTCGAAGCTACCATACTTCTTAGTGAGCGCTTCGCTAGTGACAGGAACCACATTGGTCGGCCCGCCCTTGTAGTCCGTAGTGCGTCACTCTTTCGTCGGTGGCTGGTGTGAAGCAACAGATCCACCGTTCCAAGTTCTTCGTCCTTGATTTTCAATTCGTGACATTGCTTCCCCTCAACTTCAACCGGGAGGAAGTGCTTGTTTCGGCCCCAATCGTGGACCTTGAAGCGTTGTAACGCATATAACAGCACTATGAATCGCGGGAGATTCTGAATGAAATTAATGCCCGAGCTTTGAAGGGTGCCCTGGCGATCATAATACCAGGTCCAGATCACATCGTCTAAAAAGCGGTGGTAAGAGCGCGACCAGTCTCGACAGACGAACGAACCCACCGACAACGATAAAATTAATCAGATGTTCGACGGCAACATTGGCCGCAAACATTTCTGCGGCGTACAGGCCCGTCTGGACGGTCACATCTGGCTCGTCAGGATTGAACTTGGTTTTTTTCGTGGTAGATTCCAAAGTGTCCGCAGCCTTGCGCTTGGAGCTGGACCCGCCCTTGGAAGTCTGTGCAGCGGTGAGGCCGGAAGATTGATCTGCTGCTCGGTTCATTCAGTTGGATATTGGATACAAAAATCAAATCACTTACGCGCGGTATCGGACGCAGGTTGTGCTGCCGGGGTCTGCGAAGGGCCTGGCGTAGGCACTTCAGCCTTGAGATGATCCACCGGCAGATGTTCTGGTTTAGTGGGGACATGGTCTGTCACTGTGTACGAAGAGGGCGGCGACTTAATCTCTTTTGTCTTTCTCTTGAACTCGATGCAAGCCAAACATCTTTCCAGCGAAGATTTTTTGGCTTCGCCTTTGCGTTCTTGACCATGTGATCCTTACGCTTCTGACCGTCCTTTGTATCGTCCTTCTGGTCATCCTTCTTGGCGGCCTTTCGTTTGTCTTTCTGTTTGCCCGTCTTGCTGCCGTTATCATCCTGGAAGCATGCGCATGCGCTCTTCAAAGGAAGGATGACAATGTCGGGCTTCCGAGTTGATTTCGCCTTCTGGTGGGTTTGATACATGGGCATGTCGTTCTGCTGGAAGATCATGTCCACGGCGGAGACAGGAGCGCGCATCCCGTCCATCTTGATCTCTTGAAGACAAGCGATCGCGATGTTCGTCGCGTCAATAAAAGGGCCGTAGAAGTCGTTTTCTACTCCTGGACATACGCTTGCAGTCGTTGTAAGCGTAGAAACGTGTAATAATCGAAAGAGCGCTTACTATTTTTTCAAGGCTATCTCGATGCCTGAAGAGGAAATGCCTCCAGCAGAGACCTGTCCATTGCAAACTGGCAGGACTCCCTTCAGGCACTTTTGCAGGAGCTCGGGCTGTTTCGTCTCCGGCGCGCAAGACGCGCGCTGTAGGAGGGCTTGCAGCATAGCATCTGCCTTGCACTGCTTGGCCTGCTCGATGTCCCGCTGAATCCACGGCCGAATCTCCTTAACCCTTCATGGAACGTCAGGTGCTATTCCATAACAGCAAGAAAGGTACGTACTGGACACCAACCAAGTCGATGTGCTCGCTGACGACGGAAGCCCCACGGCTGTTTGGGGTGGACTCTAGTTTACTACCACCTTGATTTGATGCATTGGCGCGTGGCGGAGTAGCCGATGTGCCTGTCTCGCCAGCAGGGGACATGACGCTAGGTGTTCAATGATTGTGCTGACTGAGTGTTGTGAGCAGAGCTAGTTGAGGGAGAGAAAAGTAAGAGAACAAGGAAAACGTCTGCTTTCTGTTTGCCTTATATGCGGTCGACGAATGTGGCGAAAATGGGGTGAACCATCGATCATTGATTTGATGTGGATTGATGTGGCGGGTTGTGGACCGTCTACAGTTTAATTCGTGACTCCGACGACGCGTTCCCATCAACTCACGCACGTGACCCTGACTTAATCTCCAAGTCCTTGAAGTCGATCTCAGTCAAGTCCGGTCGTACGTAGATTGATATTAGAGATCTGCATAATGTAATACTCTAGTACTCTGTCAATTCACCAGAAATAAGATCGGCTGCTGCGCGCCAGGGATCCGTCATGATTTTGCATACTGAAAGGTACTCCCGGGCCGCTATCTACGTGCACATCGATCTTGTTCTCGGTAATAATCAACAGAAGTTCTTCTAAGAATTTTGATTTTTGGATAGTCCGACGCTCGCACCATGTTCCACACAGAAAGAAGACTGTCAAATTCATGACTCAGTTGCAGTTCTGTAGTATTCTTTTGTTCTCCTAGTATAGGCACAAAACATCGTTACCCCCGTTTAGATCCCTGTGCTATGTAGATGCCTGACATTACTGTTCATGGATGCTGCTGTGTATCTGGGGTAATGTCGGACAATCAATATATATATGTTATCCCTCGCAGGAAACCCATGGTCTCGCCCAAGTCTCGCCCATATATTCCTAGTTGATCTCGTGGCCTTGAGAAAGAGCGATCCATCTACTAGTAGCGCTTCCGCGCCTTCCAGTCCCGCACCCTTGAGGTAGCCCTTGCGCTGTGTGCCGTGAAGTGAGAGAAATCAACGCGCGCTGAGCCTTCAACATATGATCGTTTTTAGTTAAATAATGTTGAGGAGTGGGTTGACGTTCTTATCCAAGTGGCGCTGAGGAAATCTTGAATGTTTAGTCCAGGGAATGCAAGCCAGTATGTGAGATCTATCGTCCTGCCCTGGCCAGTGAGTTTCTCGGATTCAGAAATTGTCGGGAAGTCTGATGTCTTGAAGGCCGTCGCACGATGTCACTATATCCAGCCTACCCGCCATCAGGATCTTTACCTAACACCATGAAGCTCCCAGTCTACGGCTGCTATGTCCTCCCTCCAGGAGGTGACCAGAACTGTGACGGTAAGCTGACAAGGATGACGAGATGATTGGTACTGTCTGCGCTTACTGGTGTATTGCAATTCAGTCTCGTCATCCCAATTCAAACGTGGTTGATGGCACTGAAGCACTAGATCCGCTTGGGCTCAATGAAGTAGCCTGGTCAACGAGCCAAAGTCCTGCTAACGGTACTCAGTGTGTAACCCTGGAGCTGTTGGCGTGAATGAGGGTGCTGAATGCGTGTACAGGCGCCCCTAGAGTGGTCGAATACTCTTACGAGCTCTGGAAAGCAGCTATCTTTCAGCGATGACATTACTGGGAGCAAACAGACTTCCACAAGCCGCTACGATCATGACATTACTATCAAGACCGCGTGCATGAACCTCAGCGTTTGGGAGAGATCTGTACTCATGTCATGGTTCGTCAAGGTCCTGTATGGCATACATCTATTTTGCAACTTCTATAAGTACCGCAATAAAACCTGGAATAAATAAAAACAAATTCTCCCACTCTCTGCAGACTATCCGCCCATCGTAAAACAATCCTATCGAGAATATCCTGCGCTAAACGCTGTTGCTAGTTTCCACATGGTTGTGTTCCTGGAAAGCAATTGAAGTCATAGCACTTGCTGCATCGGAGTCGGCCACGAGTTTTGCATGATATTCTCGAACGCTAAGGATGAGGCGTGGTCCCAGCACAGACAGCTGCACCGTGTAGGAGATTTGAGCGAAACCAAGATAAATCTGAACACCCTGGGTCATTTGATCCTATAGAAATGATGAATCATGGTGACACATAGAGGTCGGTGACAGACTGGCATACCGCTAAGAGCGTTGGGGACAATAAACTGATCTGGAAGCAAGCAATAACAACAAAGCTAGCACGTGCAAAAATTTAGCAGAACAAGAAAACCACATTCACATTATGAGCTCACCTCGCAAAGTAACTAATGTGAGTTTGCATTAACACCGTGAAACAGTCCCCCATAACACCTCCTGTTGAGTGTCTTCGCAGTTCACGGAAGTGCTTTACAGCAATCCAGGCCGCTAGACACAGTGCAAGGACCTCCCATACAGTGCCAAGTATCCAAGTCATGGAAGTCAGAAATAGGGAATCTCCGGTATAGTCAGTGTTGCACTGATAGGTGCCGTAGAGAATGAATTCCTCTGGTACTTGTCAGTGAGCCTGATGTACTTGAATATTCCATACATAATTAAAGCTTACCCACTGAAACTTGCGTCATCATTATTGCGACCATCACTACGCTGGTGATTCTGATGGCCAGAAAGATGACAACGAGAAATATCAGCACCTTTCTAGATCGCTGATACATGGCATGTAACCGAACGATCATGATAACTTGCATGATGTTTCAATCAGGTCAATACCACGACAGTATAATGCTCACCGCCCAGTATTGCGTCTGCAACGTTACCCGTCCAATTAAGCGTATCGTCTAAGATAAGGCCTGACGAATCCAACAACATTAGTTATCAGCTTCGGAGGATCACAAACTCGCAACAAACTCACAACTGTGGGAGTCATTATATTGAACCAACAAGTGGTTCGAGAATCTCACTCACCTCTGCAGGGTAGTTCAGTTATTCGGACGGGAATAGAAGGCATCGGTGCGGAATGCTCACTGCATCTGTTGTCGGAATTGTTGGAGTACTCACTGTATGCCGCCCGTCACAAGATAGAAACAGAGTCTATGCGAGGAGACATACTCAACATGCCGATCCTGGTTGTGAGATAGGTATTGAGCGCAACACCAACGGCTTAAACGTAGAAACGTACACAATGAATCCTATTCCAAGATATCGTGCCTAGGATATGTTCATATCAGCACAACTTGCTAAACACGCGTAAAAACACAAGCTACATACAACAATATACAGAACGGTCATCATGGACCATCGTTGCCTCTGCCGCAAATCAGTTGTGGTATTTCACATCGTTCTTTTGATGTGGGAGTCCGCTCACCCAGATCAGTTCCACCTATATAACTGTTCTCAGCGACATGGCTGCTTCTGTAATGGTGTCGACCTACCTCTTGTCCGAACGTAAGTCCTAGAAATCCTGTGATCTTTTCGTACTTGATATTGCTCACCCCAATCGTATATTGCTGTAGCACAGGAGGCAACTGCGAAACCACAGCCAAGGTTAATCAAGTCATCACGGTCATCATGCAGCTGGCTCTCCACAGACCTACGAAATAGCTGAAAATAAGAACTGCATTGATGAATGGCCACCAACTGGGATCGTTCGAGACTAGGGTCATCCTATTAGAGGATGGGAGCCTGAGTGAGTGAGGGGGAAATTTGGTGGATGTATAACGATTGCATTCGCGCTTCATATACCCCATCCACCGCTTACGTTCAAGTTGCCGAAGTATTAATAATAATTTGAAAGATCATACCTGATCCATTGAAGTGTTTCAGGCTTTCAGCGCTCAGCATGATCATTGATTTCAAGTAGAAAGGGAGTGTGCATCCAGGGATATCGATGGTATCAAATTTCAGTTGTTGAATCATTAATGCAGTGACTCGCTAATTGAAATGTTTGATCAACAGCTATTTCCAAAACGACAGGCCAGATTCAAATTTACACACTTACTTTTATTCGCATTTGATGAGGCGACGCACCGTGACAAAATATCGAAGAAAAAGCGAATGACACCTATGTCATTCAAGTTGTTTAGTGCCGTAGACGAACTAGAACTTCAACAAGGGCGTGTCAAATTTAGAAATATGTGACATCACAATCAGGGAGGCAGTGCTTCAAAACCAAACAAAGGCGGTGGAATCTGGCCTATCATTTTGGAAATAACTAAGAACGCCGGAGACTGGCAGATCATTGATTTAACACAGGTTTGAACGGCGCCTTGGGCAAGTTGACCTTGTGGCAGACATTCTTTGTAACTACCACACGAGCAAAAATTCACAACCTTTCTTCCAATTTATGTACACGCTGATTAGTACGAATGCGACCAAAAGTACATACATGTGTCGTACTATCATAAAACACTGTCGACGTGTAATCGTACAAAGAAAGTGGGGAGGCTGTACAAAGGGTTGTACAAAAGAGGAAGGGGTACAAAGAAAGAACGATGATTTAGACAGAAAAGTAACGAAAGCGTTGACAAAGAGGCAATGATGGTTACCGCTTGAATGAATGTGTGATGATCTAGTTGGTTCATAAGTAACGACGGAATGGTATGGATGCACTGGTAAATAGAAGATCAAGCTCCTCGACGAGCTTGAGGAGTCATGAGCGAATAGCCAGAGAGTGAGAATAGGATAGAAATCTTCCATTCCTTGAAAAAACGCACGTACTATATTTGACGAGTTGGGGACGACAGAACTACAAAGAATGATATATGTAACATCCGTCCATTCCACGAGTAACTGACACAGGTAGCGAAACACGGAAAACAATATATAGTACAACGACCACTATAAAGATAAGGTGTTGCCGAGCTCAACCCACGCCTCGGTACCTGTGAATTTACCTAGTAAATCATCCATATCCGATACTGTTTCCTCGGCAGTTATCTGCCCGTATGCTCCTTGCCTCGATCTCCGCTGAACAAGGAGAATACGGTTGATGCGATTGGAGGTAAGTGCCAGGAGCACCCGAAAACATTCCTCAATGAGAGTCCATAAAGACAAATCTATGTCCGATCCAGAAGTTTCGAGGTCCGGGGGTAGATAACCGATAAAATCCGTCAGGAAGTCTAACTTCTCCTTGCGACACGCAATAGCGCCTAAAATCGCCCACTCGTCGAGAGGGCGCAACTTCGGTAGTAGAAGGACTCCCTGCCTGTAACGCAAAAAAATCCAGGCGAAAACCCACATAAACGATTCTAGATCGTGGCGATATAGGTGTTTCACTTTGCCTTGTTGACCATTTTTGGTGAGAAGGTCGAGGGCCATGAACGGTACCGTGCCCGTACGCTCGTTTCCCTGAGGACCCACCGCATTCGCCAACGAGGATAGATCGTAGTCGTTTAAGACACCGATCAGTCTACCGCTTTTCCTGTACCACATCAAGTTTCCAGGGCTGACATCTCGATGATAAACACCTTGCTTCCACAAAGTGAGGTGGCCTGTAGGCTATGTCAACGAAAAGCCACATAAGCTGAATCAAACACGTACATAAGATACACTGATGCCAGACGTCGAAAAGATCCTTGCCGTGAAGCTTCGTGATTGGGTAGAGCTTGCGGAATACAAGAATGTAGAGCATGCGACTGCCCATGCTGGGTTCCGGAACGCCGAGGGCTTCTCGAATGGCGGATGTGGGATTCGTGAGCGCATGATGCCAGAGCAGCTCAGTGATATGCCCTTCGACAGTCGGGTGCACCTTAGCGATCTCCTCAACCTTGTCCAGGATTTTTGGCTCGCTAGTGCGACCAGCCTCTCCCCCAAAAATGGCTACCATCCCATTCGAGACCTGTCCATTGCAAACCGGCAGAACTCCCTTCTGGCACTTTTGCAGGAGCTCGGGCTGTTTCGTCTCTGGGGCGCAAGACGCGTGCTGTAGGAGGGCTTGCAGCATGGCATCTGCCTTGCACTGCTTGGCCTGCTCGATGTCCCGCCGAATCCATGGCCGAACCTCGTTAACCCTTCATGGAACGTCAGGTGCTACTCCATAGAACAAGAAAGGTACGTACTGGACACCGACCAAGCTGATGTTCTCGCTGACGACGGAAGCCCCACGGCTGTTTGGGGTGGACTCTAGTTCACTACCACCTTGATTTGATGCATTGGCGCGTGGCGGAGTAGCCGATGTGCCTGTCTCGCCAGCAGGGGACATGACGCTAGGTGTTCAATGATTGCGCTGACTGAGTGTAGTGAGCAGAGCTACTAGTGAAGGGAGAGAAAATTAAGAAGACAAGAAAGCCGACTGCTTCCTGCCTCCGGTTGACGAATGTGGCGCAAATGTGGTGGACCATTGTCAATTGATCATTGATTTGATGTGGATTGATGTGGCAGTTGTGGACCTACAGTTTAATTAATTCGACCCATCAACACGCGCACGTGACCTCGACTTGTACTGGACCTTTTGTAATCAGGTAGTGCCGTCTCAATTTGTCGAAAATGAGGCATGGTGAAGATGCTGTGCCGCTGCAGAAAGAGGGTGCTGCGATATGCCGTGACGCCCAACCATGTGGACCTACAATCCAGAATTTCGACTCTGGGGACGCGGCGTGGGCACATGACCGTAACTTATTTGACGCCTGGAAATCGATTTCACCTCAGCCGTACCAATAGTAGAGATCTGTCTATACTCTGATACTATATCAATTCGTCAGAACAAACACACGTACTATGTTTGACGGTTTGGGGACGACAGAACTACAAAGAATTATCTACGTAACATCCGTCCATTCCATGAGTAACTGACACAGTAAGCGAAACACAGAAAACAACGTGTAGTGTAACGATCACTATGAAGGTTTGCTGAGCTTAACCCACTCCCTGATACTTGTGAATTTGCCTAGTAAATCATCCATATCCGATACTGTTTCCTCGGCATCTATCTGCTCGTATGTTCCCTCCGTCAATCCCTGCTCAACACCGAGGTTATAGTACACGTCATCAACCAGATTGGAGTTAGCTGCCTGGAGCACCCGAAAACAGCCCACAAGGAGAGCCCATAAAGATATATCCATGGCCGATTGGAGGTCCGGGGGTCGGTATTTGACAAAACCCATCAGAAAGTCTGACTTCTCTTTGCGACATGCAATAGCGCCTAGAGTCGCCCACTCGTCGAGAGGGCGCAATCTCTGCAGTAGGACTCCCTGCCTATAACGCAAGAAGATCCAGGCAAAAACCCACATAAACGATTCCAAATCGTGGCGATATAGGTGTTTCACTTTGCCTTGTTGACCCTCTTCGGTGAGAAGATCGAGGGCCATGAACGGTACGGTGCCCGTACGCTCGTTTCCCTGAGGACCCACCGCATTCGCCAACGAGGATAAATCGTAGTCGTTTAAGACACCGATCAGTCTACCGTCTTTCCTGTACCACATCAAGTTTCCAGGGCTGATATCTCGATGATAGACCCCTTCCTTCCACAAAATGAGGTGGCCTGTGGGCTATGTCAGCGAAGAGTCACATAAGCTGAATCACACACGTACACAAGATACACTGACGCCAGACGTCAAAAAGATCCTTGCCGTGGAGCTTCGTGATGGGGTGGAGCTTGCGGAACACAAGAATGTAGAGCACGCGACCTCCCGTGGTGGGTTCAGGAACACCGAGCGCTTCTCGAATGGCGGACGTGGGATTCGTGAATTTGTGGTGCCAGAGCAGCTGCGGAATATGCCCTTCGACAGTCGGGTGCCTCTTAGCGATCTCCTCAACCTTTTTCAAGATCTCCGGCTCGCTGGTGCGACTCGCCTCTCCCCAAAATATCTTGGCCACCATTCCATCCTCGAAGTTACCATATTTCTTAGTGAGCGCTTCGCTAGTGACAGGAACCACGTTGGTCGCCCGCCCTTGTAGTCCGTAGTGCGTCACTCTTTCGGGGTGGCTGGTGTGAAGCAACAGATCCACCGTTCCAAGTTCTTCGTCCTTGATTTTGAATTCGTGACATTGCTTCCCCTCAACTTCAACCGGGAGGAAGTGCTTGTTTCGGCCCCAATCGTGGACCTTGAAGCGTTGTAACGCATACAACAGCACCATGAATCGCGGGAGATCTTGAATGAAGTTAATTCCCGAGCTTTGGACGGTGCCCTGGCGATCATAATACCAGGTCCAGATCACATCGTCTAAAAAGCGGTGGTAAGAGCGCGACCAGTCTCGACAGACGAACGAACCCACCGACAACGATGAAATTAATCAGATGTTCGACGGCAACATTGGCCGCAAACATTTCTGCGGCGTACAGACCCGTCTGGACGGTCACATCTGGCTCGTCAAGATTGACCTTGGATTTTTTCGCGGTAGATTCCAAAGTGTCCGCGGCCTTGCGCTTGGAGCTGGACCCGCCCTTGGAAGTCTGTGCAGCAGTGAGGCCGGAAGATTGAACTGCTGCTCGGTTCATTCAGTTGGATCTTGGATACAAAAATCAAATCACTTACGCGCGGTATCGGACGCAGGTTGTGTTGCTATGGTCTGCGAAGGGCCTGGCGTAGGCACTTCAGCCTTGAGATGACCCACCGGCAGATGTTCTGGTTTAGTAGGGACATGGTCTGTCACTGTATACGAAGAGGGCGGCGACTTAATCTCTTTCGTCTTTCTCTTGAACTCGATGCAAGCCAAAACATCTTTCCAGCGAAGGTTTTTTGCCTTTGCCTTTGCGTTCTTGACCATGTGATCCTTACGCTTCTGACCGTCCTTTGTATCGTCCTTCTGGTCATCCTCCTGGGCGGCCTTCCGTTTATCTTTCTGTTTGCCCGTCTTGCTGCCGTTATCATCCTGGAAGGATGCGCATGCGCTCTTCAAAGGAAGGATGACAATGTCGGGCTTCCGGATTGATCTCGCCGTCTGGTGGGTTTGATACATGGGCATGTCGTTCTGCTGGAAGATCATGTCCACGGCGGAGACAGGAGCGCGCATCCCGTCAATCTTGATCTCTTCAAGACAAGCGAGCCCAATGTTCGTCGCATCAATAAAAGGGCCGTAGAAGTCGTTTTCTACTCCTGGACATACGCTTGCAATCGTTGTAAGCGTAGAAACGTATAATAATCGAAAGAGCGCTTACTATTTTTTCAAGGCTGCCTCGATGCCCGAAGAGGATATGCCTCCAGCGGAGACCCGTCCATTGCAAACCGGAAGAACTCCCTTCAGGCACTTTTGCAGGAGCTCAGGCTGTTTCGTCTCCGGCGCGCAAGACGCGCGCTGTAGGAGGGCTTGCAACATGACATCTGTCTTGCACTGCTTGGCCTGCTCGATGTCTCTCTGAATCCATGGCCAGACCTCCTTAACCCTTCATGGAACGTCAGGTGCTACTCCATAAGAACAAGGAAGGTACGTACTGGACACCGACCAAGCTGATGTTCTCGCTGACGACGGAAGCCCCACGGCTGTTTGGGGTGGACTCTAGTTTACTACCACCTTGATTTGATGCATTGGCGCGTGGCGGAGTAGCCGATGTGCCTGTCTCGCCAGTAGGGGACATGACGCTAGGTGTTCAATAATTGCGCTGACTGAGTGTTGTGAGCAGAGCTAGTTGAAGGAGAGAAAAGTAAGAGGACAAGGAAAACGTCTGCTTTCTGTTTGCCTTATATGCGGTCGACGAATGTGGCGAAAATGGGGTGAACCATCGATCATTGATTTGATGTGGATTGATGTGGCGGGTTGTGGACCTACAGTTTAATTCGTGGCTCCGACGACGCGTTCCCATCAACTCACGCACGTGACTCTGACTTATTTTTAGAATTTTCAAGTCCTTGAAGTCGATCTCAGTCAAGTCCGGTCGTACGTACATTGATATTAGAGATCTGCATAATGTAATACTCTAGTACTCTGTCAATTCACCAGAAATAAGATCGGCTGCCGCGCGCCAGGCAGGTCATTTTTTCGCATACTGAAAGGTAGTCCGCTATCTACGTGCCCATCCATCTTGTTCTCGGTAAAAATCAACAGATGTTCTTCTAAGAATTTTGATTTTTGGATAGTCCGATGCTCGCACCATATTCCACACAGAAAGAAGACTGTCAAATTCATGACTCAGTCGCAGTTCTGTAGTATTCTTTTGTTCTCCTATAGGCACAAAATATCGTTACCCCCGTTTAGATCCCTGTGCTACATGCATGACATTACTGTTAATGGACGTTGCTGCGTATCTTGCCGGGTGATGTCGGACAATCAATATGTTTGATCCCTCGCAGGAAACCCTTCTTGTCCCATGGTCTCGGCCATATATTCCTGGTTGATCTCGTAGCCTTGAGAAAGAGCGATCTATCTAGCGCTTCCGCGCCTTCCAGTCCCGCACCCTTGAGGTAGCCCTTGCGCTGTGTGCCATAAAGTCAGAGAAATAAACGCGCGCTGAGCCTTCAACATATGATCGTTTTTAGGTAAATAATGTTGAGGAGTGGGTTGACGATCTTATCCAAGTGGCGCTGAGGAAATCTTGAATGTTTAGTCCAGGGAAGCCAGTGTGTGACATCTATCGTTCTGCCCTGACCAGCGAGTTTCTCGGATTCAGAAATTGTCAGGAAGTCTGTCAAGGCCGCCCCACGATGTCACTATATCCCGCCTACCCGTCATTAGGATCTTTACCTAACACCATGTCATTTGTCTGCAGCTCCCAGTCTGCGGCCGCTATGACCTCCCTCCAGGTGACCAGAACCGTGACGGAAAGCTGAAAAGCATGACGAGATGATTGGCATGACCGTTGCCATAGATGGCGGCCCGAGGAATCGGGGATGCATGATGGTGGCTCAGGTAGATGGCAGTGGTTACGCACCACAACAAGAAATGCATTCCTGCTGATACGCACATTTCTTTGAACGCAAGCAGGATCTATTCATGTGCTGAGTCGTATATAAGTACATGCTCATACCAGCGACTCGCGAATGAGTGAGTATATGCGACTCCTTCGACTTCAAAATTTCGAGCAAATTTTCTATAATCATTCTTCTCACTGGTTTGTTTGTTACTCACCCCGAACCATCCATTTCGTTCTAACGACACTTGAAACTTAGCTCTGGGTCAGACTGTCTGTGCTTACTAGTGTATTGCAATTCAGTCTATTTGAACGTGGTTGATGGCACTAGAGCACTAGATCCGCTTGGGCTCAATGAAGTAGCCTGGTCAACGAGCCAAAGTCCTGTTAAAGGTACTCACTGGGTAACCCTAGGAAGAGTGGGGGTGCTGAATGGGTGTACAGGTGCCACTAGAGTGGTCGAGTACTCCTCATGAGCTTCGCGAAGCAGCCATCTTTCAGCGATGACATCAGGAGCGAACAAACTTCCACCAGCTGCCGCAATTATGACAGCACTATCAATATCGCGTGCATGAACCTCAGCGTTTGGGAGAGATCGTTCGTCAAGTGTTCCTGTGTGACATACATCCATTTCGCAACACCAAACAACTTACATTAGTACCGCAACAAAACCTGGAATAGATAAAAACAAATCCTCCCACTCTCTGCAGACTACCCGCCCATCGTAAAACGATCATATCGAGAATGTCCTGCGCTAAACGCTGCTGCTAGTTTTCACATGGACGTGTTCCTGGAAAGCAATTGAAGTCATAGTGGTTGCTGCATCGGAGTCGGCCAAGGACGAGGCGTGGTCCCAGCACAGACAACTGTGCCATCTCAAAGACGAGAGTGAAACCATAATAGATTTGAACGGCCAGGGACAATTCGTTCTACAGAATTGATGGATCATGGGTACAATGACGCCATTCAGATCAGTGATCTAACACAGGTTAGTTGTATGTATAAAAAAGGAAGGAGTTGTTGTTCAATTAGACAGAAATGGTGACAGTAGGAACGAAAGCGATGACGAAGAGGCGGTGACTGTACACGCTTGAATGCGAAGTTGGTGGATGTGTGATGATTCAGTTTGGTGATTCATAAGTAATGACGGAATGGGATGGATGCACTGGTGAGTAGAAGAATAAACCCGTCGACGAGCTCAGGGAACAAATAGTTGAAGAGGGAGAATCGGATAGAAATTTACCATTGCTTGAAGGAAGAATTTCCTCCATCCATAAAAAAACGTCCCAGGACCCAAGGATACGTAGAAGCGACACGAAGAAACCAAAAAAAATGGAATGTGAACTGCGCGATTCGTGGCACGAGCGAGAGCGACAGTGGTCGCTTAAAAGCTAGGGAACAAAGCAAGTGTGCATTTAAATTCGACAATTCACAGTAATAGCTGGCGATATTACATAATAGAAGTGACACGACTAAAGGAGGATCTATGTAACATCCGTCCATTCCATGAGTATCTGACGCAGGAAATACAGAAAACAATACGTAGTGTAACAAACACTATAGAGGTGAAGTCTTGCTGAGCTTGGCCCAGGCCATGGTACCTGTGAATTTGCCTAGCAAATCATCCATATCTGATATTGTTTCCTTGGCGTTTGTCTGCTCGCCTGCTCCTTCCATCGATCGCTGCTGAACACGGCGAATACGGCGAACGTGACTACGGCGACTGTAGGCTGCTGCATCGAGCGCCTCAAAACATTCCACAAGGAGATCCCATATAGACCAATCTATGTCCGATTCAGAAGTTTGGAGGACCGGGGGTTCATAATCAGCATTTGCCAGAAAGGCTAACTTCTTCTCGCCACATGCAATAGCGTCCAAAGTCGCCCACTCGTCGAAGGGGCGCAATTTCCGTGATAGAAGGACTCCCTGCCTGTAACGCGAGAAAATCCAGGTAAAAACCCATATAAATGACTCGAGATCATGGCGATATAGGTGTTTAACTTCGCCTCGTTGAGCCTTTTCGGTGAGAAGATCGAGGGCCATGAACGGTACCGTGCCCGTACGCTCGTTTCCCCGAGGACCCACCGCATTCGCCAACGAAGATAGATCGTAGTCGTTTAAGACACCGATCAGTTTGTCGCCTTTCCTGTACCACATCAAGTTTCCAGGGCTGATATCTCGATGATAGACCCCTTCCTTCCATAGGGTGAGATGACCTGCACGCCATGTTAACGAAGAGCCCCATAAATGCGTCCAAAACACGTACATAAAATACATTGGTACCACGCGTCGAAAAGCTCTTTGCCGTGAAGCTTCGTGATGGGGTGGAGCTTGCGGAACACAAGAATGTAGAGCACGCGACCTCCCGTGGTGGGTTCAGGAACGCCGAGGGCTTCTCGAATGGCGGACGTGGGATTCGTGAATTTGTGGTGCCAGAGCAGCTGCGGAATATGCCCTTCGACAGTCGGGTGCCTCTTAGCGACCTCCTCAACCTTTTTCAGGATCTCCGGCTCGCTGGTACGACTCGCCTCTCCCCAAAATATCTTGGCCACCATTCCATCCTCGAAGGTACCATACTTCTTAGTGAGCGCTTCGCTAGTGACAGGAACCACATTGGTGGCCCGCCCTTGTAGTCCGTAGTGCGTCACTCTTTCGTCGTGGCTGGTGTGAAGCAACAGATCCACCGTTCCAATATCTCCGTCCTTGATTTTGAATTCGTGGCATTGCTTCCCCTCAACTTCAACTGGGAGGAAGTCCTTGTTTCGGCCCCAATCGTGAACCTTGAAGCGTTGTAACGCGTATAACAGCACCATGAATCGTGGGAGATCTTGGATAAAGTTAATGCCAGAGCTTTGAACGGTGCCCTGGCGATCATAATACCAGGTCCAGATCACATCGTCTAAAAAGCGGTGGTAAGAGCGCGATCAGATTGGACAGACGAACGAACCCACCGACAACGATGAAATTAATCAGATATTCGACGGCAAGATTGGCCGCAAACATTTCCGCGGCGTACAGACCCGTCTGGACGGTCACATCTGGCTCGTCAGGATTGACTTTGGATTTTTTCGGGGTAGATTCCAAAGTGTCCGCGGCCTTGCGCTTGGAGCTGGACCCGCCCTTGGAAGTCTGTGCAGCGGTAAGGCCGGAAGATTGAACTGCTGCTCGGTTCATTCAGTTTGATCTCGGATACAAAAATCAAATCACTTACGCGCGGCGTCGGACGCAGATTGTGTTGCTGGGGTCTGGGAAGGGCCTGGCGTAGGCACTTCAGCCTTGAGATGATCCACCGGCAGGAATTCTGGTTTAGTAGGGACATAGTCTGTCACTATATATGAAGAGGGCGGCGACTTGATCTCTTTCGTCCTCCCTGACGTCTTTCTCTTGAACTCGATGCAAGCCAGAACATCTTTCCAGAGGAGTGACGCTGGTGGCTTTTCCTTGGCATTCTTGACCATGTGAGCCTTGCGCTTCGTGTCGTGCTTCTCGTCGTGCTTCGTGTTACCCCTCTCGTCGTCTTTCTGTTTGCTCTTCTGTTTGCCCTTCTTGTCGCCCTTCTTGTCGCACTTCTCATCCTCAAATGAAGCGCATGCGCTGTTCAAAGGAAGAATGACGACGTCGGGCTTCCGAGTTGATCTCACCGTCTGGTGGGTTTGGTACATGGGCATGTCGTTCTGCTGGAAGATCATGTCCACAGTGGAGACAGGAGCGCGCATCCCGTCAATCTTGACCTCTTCAAGACAAGCGAGCGCAATGTTCGTCGCGTCAATAAAAGGGCCGTAGAAGTCGTTTTCTACTCCTGGACATACGCTTGCAATCGTTGTGAGCGTAGAAACGTGTAATAATCGAAAGAGCGCTTACTATTTTTTCAAGGCTGCCTCGATGCCCGAAGAGGATATGCCTCCAGCGGAGACCCGTCCATTGCAAACCGGAAGAACTCCCTTCAGGCACTTTTGCAGGAGCTCGGGCTGTTTCGTCTCCGGCGCGCAAGACGCGCGCTGTAGGAGGGCTTGCAGCATGGCATCTGCCTTGCACTGCTTGGCCTGCTCTATGTCTCGCTGAATCCATGGCCAGACCTCCTTAACCCTTCATGGAACGTCAGGTGCTACTCCATAAGAACAAGAAAGGTACGTACTGGACACCGACCAAGCCGATGTTCTCGCTGACGACGGAAGCCCCACGGCTGTTTGGGGTGGACTCTAGTTTACTACCACCTTGATTTGATGCATTGGCGCGTGGCGGAGTAGCCGATGTGCCTGTCTCGCCAGTAGGGGACATGACGCTAGGTGTTCAATGACTGCGCTGACTGAGTGTTGTGAGCACAGCTAGTTGAGGGAGAGAAAAGTAAGAGAACAAGGAAAACGTCTGCTTTCTGTTTGCCTTATATGCGGTCGACGAATGTGGCGCAAATGGGGTGAACCATCGATCATTGATTTGATGTGGATTGATGTGGCGGGTTGTGGACCTACAGTTTAATTCGTGACTCCGACGACGCGTTCCCATCAACTCACGCACGTGACCCTGACTTATTTTCCGAATCTCCAAGTCCTTGAAGTCGATCTCAGTCAAGTCCGGTCGTACGTACATTGATATTAGAGATCTGCATAATGTAATACTCTAGTACTCTGTCAATTCACCAGAAATAAGATCGGCTGCTGCGCGCCAGGGATCCGTCATGATTTTGCATACTGAAAGGTACTCCCGGGCCGCTATCTACGTGCACATCCATCTTGTTCTCGGTAATAATCAACAGAAGTTCTTCTAAGAATTTTGATTTTGGGATAGTCCGATGCTCGCACCACGTTCCATACAGAAAGAAGACTGTCAAATTCATGACTCAGTCGCAGTTCTCTAGTATTCTTTTGTTCTCCTATAGGCACAAAATATCGTTACCCCCGTTTAGATCCCTGTGCTACGTAGATGCATGGCATTACTGTTCATGGATGTTGCTGTGTATCTGGGGTGATGTCGGACAATCAATATGTATATGTTATCCCTCGCAGGAAACCCATGGTCTCGCCCATATATTCCTAGTTGATCTCGTGGCCTTGAGAAAGAGCGATCCATCTAGCGCTTCCGCGCCTTCCAGTCCCGCACCCTTGAGGTAGCCCTTGCGCTGTGTGCCATGAAGTGAGAGAAATCAACGCGTGCTGAGCCTTCAACATATGATCGTTTTTAGGTAAACGATGTTGAGGAATGGGTTGATCTTATCCAAGTGGCGCTCAGGAAATCTTTAATGTTTAGTCCAGGGAAGCCAGTGTTTGAGATCTATCGTCCTGCCCTGGCCAGTGAGTTCTTATCTTACGAGCTCCGGGAAGCGGCTATTTTTCAGCGATGGCATTAAGAGCGAACAGAATTCCACCAGCTGCTACCATTGTGATAGCACTACCAAGGTCGCGTTCATAAACCTCAGCGTCGGGGAGAGATCTCCATTCATAGTTCCTCGAGTGCTCCTGTATGGCATATATATATTTCGCAACACCAAACAACTAACATAAGTACCGCAACAAAACCTGGAATAAATAAAAACAAATCCTCCCATTCTCTGCAGACTACCCGCCCATCGTAAAACAATCATATCAAGAATGTCCTGCGCTAAACGCTGCTGCTAGTTTCCACATGGACGTGTTCCTGGAAAGCAATTGAAGTCATCGCGGTTGCTGCATCGGAGTCGGCCACGAGTTTTGCATGATATTCCCGAACGCCAAGGATGAGGCGTGGTCCCAGCACGGATAACTGTGCCATCTGAAAGACGAGAGCAAAACCATAATAAATCTGAACGGCCAGGGATAATGGGTTCTATAGAATTGATGAATCATGGGTACGTGTAGAGGTCGGTGACAGATTGGCATACCGCTGAGAGCGTTGGAGACAATGAGCCGATACGGAAGCAGGCAATAGCAAAAAGCTAGCACATGCAGAATGTGAGCGGAGAAATACGGCCGCATTCAGATTATGAGCTCACCTCGCAAAGTAACTAACGTGAGTTTGCATCAACACCGTAAAACAGTCTTCAGTAATACCTCTTGTTGAGCGTTGTCGCAGTTCACGGAAGTGCTTTACAGCAATCCAGACCGCAAGACACAGTGCAAGGACCTCCCATAAAGTGCCAAGTATCCAAGTCATGGGACTCAGGAATATGTAATCTCCCGCAAAGCTAATCATGCACTGATAGGTGCCCGAGAAAACAAATTCCTCTGATACCTGTCAGTGAGCCTGATGACCTGGATATTTCATACATGATTAAAGCTTACCCGCTGAAATATGTATCATCTGCATTACGAGCATCACTGCGTTGGCGATTCTGGTGGCTAGAAAGGTGACAACGAGAAATACCAGCACCTTTCTAGATCGCTGATACATGGCATGCAGCCGAGCGATCACGATGACTTGCATGGCGTTTCAGTCAAGTCAATATCACGGAGTGCATTGCTCACCGCCCAGCATTAATTCTAAAACCTCGCCCGTCCAATCCATTGCCTGGTAGATGATACGGCCTGACGAATTCAGAAAAATTAGTCATGAGGATCACACGCTAGAAGGAGACTCACAACTGTGAAGGTCGTTATATTGAACCAACGAGTTGTTCCGAGAATCTCATTCACCCCTACATGGTAGTTGAGTTGTTTGAACAGGAATGAAAGGCATCACTGTGAAATACTCACTAGATCTGTCGTCGAAATTGTTGGAGTGCTCACTGTATGCCGCCCGTGACGAGAAATAAATAGAACCCATGCGAGGAGACATACTCAACGTGTTAATCCTGATTGTGAGAGATAAGTAACGAGCACAACGCCAATGGCTTAGACGTCGAAACGTACACAACAAATCCTATTGCAACATATCGTACCTAGTATATATTCACGTCAGCACAACTTGCTAACCTCGCTCAAAAACACAGGCTACATACAACGAGATACAAAAGGGTCACTATGGACCAGCGTTGTTTCTACCGCAAATTAGTTGTGATGCTTTTACATTGTTCTTTTGATGTAAGAGTCCGCTCACCCAGATCAGTTCTACCTAACAAACTGTTCTCAACTAGATGGCTGCTCCTGCAATGGTGCCGACCTACCTCTTGTCCGAACGTAAATCCTAGAAATCCCATGATGTGAGTGGTCTTTTCATAAATACTTGATATTACTCACCCCAATCGTAAATTATAGCAACACAGGCGGCAACTGTGAAACCGCAGCCAAAGTTAATGATCAACGTTAGCATGCGGCTGACTCTCCACGAACCTACAAAATAGCTGGAAGTCATATCCGCATTGATGACTGGCCACCAACTGGGATCGTTCGAGACTAGGGTCATACTATTAGAAAATGGGAGTAAACAAGCGGGGGAATGTGGTGGATGTATAACGATTGCATCCATGCGTGATATACCAGTATCCAGTGCTTACATTTCCGAAGTGTGATCGATTGGAATGTTACATGCTTTCAGTACGAATTCGAGTAGAAAGGGAATGTGCATCCAGGGATCGATGGTATCAAGGTAACAGTTGTTGGTTGACGGGGAATGTATGAACGCCACAAAGAGGAGATCTGTTCGTGATTTCGGTGATGTGCCAGTGCCATTTCCGAAGTCGAGTCTTTGGATATGGTTGAATGCGGGTTCGGCCTCGGCCCATCAATGACGCCATTCAGATCATTGATCTAACACAGGTTAGTTGTATGTACAAAAAAGGAGGGAGCTGTTGTTCAACCAAAGAACAATCAAGTGATTTGGACAGGAACGGTGACAGTAGGAACGAAAGCGATGACGAAGAGGCGGTGACGGTACACGCTTGGATGCGAAGTTAATGGACGTGTGATGATTCAGTTTTTCATAAGTAATGACGGAATGGGATGGGTACACTGCTGAGTAGAAGAACAAACTCGTCGACGAGCTCAGGGAGCGAATAGTTGAAGAGGGAGCATCGGATAGAGATCTGCTATGACATTGCTTGAAGGATGAATTTCCTCCATCCGTAAAAAAACGTTCCAGGACCTAAGGATACGTAGAGTGACATGAAGAAACCAAATATATATATATATATATATATAGGGAGTGTGAGTTGCGCGTTTCATGGCACGAGCGAGAGTGACAGTGGTTGCTTAAAAACAAAGCACAGGCATTTAAATTGATAAATTCCAACGATTGTCCAACGACGTTGACAAGTCAGTAATAGCTGGCGATATTACATAATAGAAGTGACACGCTTTCAGAAAATGACACAAAGGAGGATCTATGTAACATCCGTCCATTCTATGAGTATCTGACGCAGGAAATACAGAAAACAGTATTTAGTGTAACAACCACTATATAGGTGAAGTGTTGCTAAGCCTGGCCCAGGCCATGGTACCTGTGAATTTGCCTAGCAAATCATCCATATCTGATATTGTTTCCTTGGCGTTTGTCTGCTCGCCTGCTCCTTCCATCGATCGCTGCTGAACACGGTGAATACGGCGAACGTGACTACGGCGATTGTAGGCGGCTGCATCGAGCGCCTCAAAACATTCCACAAGGAGATCCCATATAAACCAATCTACGTCCGATTCAGAAGTTTCGAAGACGGGTTGATACTCAGCATTTGCCAGAAAGGCTAACTTCTTCTTGCCACATGAAATAGCGCCTAAAGTCGCCCACTCATCGAAGAGGCGCAATCTCCGTGGTAGGAGGACTCCCTGCCTGTAACGCAAGAAAATCCAGGTAAAAACCCATATAAATGACTCGAGATCATGGCGATATATGTGTTTAACTTCGCCTCGTTGAGCCTTTTCGGTGAGAAGATCGAGCGCCATGGACGGTACCGTGCCCGTACGCTCGTTGCCCCGAGGACCCAGGTCATCCGCCAACGAAGATAGATCATAGTCGTTTAAGACACCAATCAGTTTGCCATTTTTCCTGTACCACATCAAGTTTCCAGGGCTGATATCTCAATGATAGACCCCTTCCTTCCATAGAGTGAGATGGCCTGCACGCCATGTTAACGAAGAGCCCCATAGATGCGTCCAAAACACGTACATAGAATACATTGGTACCACGCGTCGAAAATCTCTTTGCCGTGAAGCTTCGTGATGGGGTGGAGCTTGCGGAACACAAGAATGTAAAGCACGCGACTGCCCATGCTGGGTTCCGGAACGCCGAGGGCTTCTCGGATAGCGGACGTGGGATTCGTGAACGCATGATGCCAGAGCAGCTCAGGAATATGCCCTTCGACAGTCTGGTGCACCTTAGCGATCTCTTCAACCTTGTCCAGGATTTTTGGCTCGCTAGTGCGACCAGCCTCTCCCCAAAAGATCTTGGCTACCATCCCATCCGAGACCTGTCCATTGCAAACCGGAAGAACTCCCTTCAGGCACAAAGTTTGCAGGAGCTCGGGCTGTTTCATCTCCGGCGCGCAAGACGCGCGCTGTAGGAGAACTTGCAGCATGGCATCTGCCTTGCATTGCTTGGCCTGCTTGATGTCCCGCTGAATCCATGGCTGGACCTCCTTAACCCTTGATGGAATATTAGGTGCCACTCAATAAGAACAAGAAAGGTAGGTACTGAACATCCACCAAGCTGATGTTCTCGCTGACGACGGAAGTCCCATGGCTGTTTGGGGTAGATTCTATTTTGCTATCACATTGACCTGATGCATTGGCGCGTTGCGGAGTAGACGGTGTGCCTGTCTCGCTAGCAGGGGACATAGTGTTAAATGTTCAATGATTGTGCTGACCGACTCGGAGTGTTGTCAGCAGAACTACTGAGGTGGAGAAAACTAAAAGGACAGGAAAGACAACTGCTTTCGGCTTGCCTTATGTCCGGTCGACAAATACTTATGGCGCAAATGCGGTGAACCATCGATCATTAAGCTGATGAGAATTGATATGGCTGCTGTGGACCTACAGTTTAATTCGACGTTCGTGACTCCGACCGTCCGACGACGCGTTCCCATCAACACGCGCACGTGACCTCGACTTGATTTCACTCAAGTAGAGTTACATTTTCATAAGAATACTCTATTCCTCTGCCAATAAACAAGATCAATTGCAGTGCGTCATGTATACTAGCTCATGTTTTTGCATGCTGAAAGGAACTCTACTATCTACTACGTGCGCATAGTACATGTCGTTCTCGGTAATGATCAACAGAAGTCCTTCTAAGAATTTTGATTTAAAGATTCATGTTCTCATAGTAGAACAGACTCCCACGCACCACCATGTTTTTACAGAAAGAAGACCGTCAAATTCATGACTCAGTCGCAATTCTTTTGTTCCCCTAGAGGTACACAATTGTTACCCGTTCAGATCCCTGTGCTGCATGTCATTACTGGTCAAGGACGTTGCTGTGTATTTTGGGTGATGTCGGACCGTCCAGCTCCGGACCCTTGAAGTAGCCCTTGCGCTGTGTGCCATAAGAAATAAACGCGCGCCGAGTCTTCAACATATGATCGTTTTTAGAAAACAATGGTAAGGGATGTGTTAGCAACCTTAGCCAAGTGGTGCTGAGGGAACTTGAATGTCTAGTCCAGGAATGCCAGAAAGTGCGGGTTTGGGCCGGTCTGCGGCATGGAGTCCGCGCAACCTTCATACAGACTAGCCATTTCCTACATGTCCTTGAGAAAGCCGCGTGTGGCTGACAAAAGCGCAGTGTTCCTTGAAGCCGAAACAAAATGGACGCATCTCTTCAAAATTCAGCAGCCTGGCGTCCAGCACGAGTATGGACTGCGGTGTCCCAATTGATATCCCAAACCAAACTTTCAACCTACAAGTCCACCGAGAGTATGAGATGGTCATTGCAGTAGTCTCCGCACTCACTATCAAATTCATTGTCGTCATCCGACGAGCTAGAGGCTTGTGCAGTGAAAAAGCACTCCGTCCCGATTCGCATTTCCTAGTCAGATCCTTATGCACAGACGATGTAGTAGCCATTTGCATTAGTGCCAAAACGGGCAGGGTCTGTCGTGTATGTGTGTCTGACGACACAATTACCAATTACGAAGGTACCTTCGCACGGAGCTTCTTCCACGTTGAGAATGTGCTTTCTCCTCTTCATCGCGGATAATGAAGGCATGCATCACTTGCAGAATTTAGGCTGCCTTGATTGTAATGGGCAGCACTCGAGGTTTGGATGGAGGTGTCTTTATCGGGGAGATCATGGATAGAGCAGGGGTACAGGTAAGAAGATCTGTGTTGTTCAGACGGCAAAATAATGTTACGGTATTCTACCATAGTCCATCAATCAAAGAAGACACCGCCGTCGACCGATATCTGTCCGTGAATCATATCAGATTGCGTCCCCCGGTAGTAGGTATGAATGAGAATATGCTTACTGTTTGACCTGCGAAGCAACGCATTACACCCATCAGTTACGAGATTATGAAGCATGGCCCATGTACAATATACACACCTGTGATGAAACGTGCTTCCGGGGTCACCAGAAACGAAACCAGGCTCGAAACATCCTGGGTAGTTCCTAGGTCGCCTACTGATGACGACCGTTTGAACTAAAGTATGAAAAAGATTGTCAAAATTCACATCTCATGCACATTGGTTGAGGGTCACCTCATCATAATCAGCTGATTCAACCAACCCAGCGACTACAGGAGGTAAAAGTTACCACCATAATGATATTAATGCACAAATATCGAAACTTGCGCATTGGTGTTTGAATCGCTCCTGGCGCATATGCGTTCACTGTAATTCCGTTGCGACCAAGTTCGATAGCTTAGAAAGAAGGTTACTGAGGTCGGGTGCCGTGAGACTAAGTACACTGTACCTGCGCATTGCGTCAGCCCTCGGACAGCAAACTTGGATGCGCAGTAAGCGCTGGCTGAAGCAAGCCCTGAAAAGATACGTCACCATACACGAAGAAATAGCCGGATATGTAGACCTACCTTTCTTTCCCGCAAGGGAGCTTGCACCGACAATTCGCCCACCCTCACCTTGAGCTATCATCTGCTGCGCTGCATATTTATAGCTGTAGAAGGTGCCTTTGACGTTGACAGCAAGCACAGACTCAAAGTCATCGGATGACGCTGCGACAGGGTTTCAGTATGTCCCGGTAGTACGTCGACTGTGACTTACTTTCTATGAGCGATTTTGGTTTGCAAATGCCTGCGTTTGCAACAAACTATGTATTTGATAGTATGAAAAGTTTGCAATTGAACGACTGCCAGCAGCTGTTGTAAACAACTCACAACATTCAGACTGCCAAACTCTTTGACTGCACTCTTAATCAGGCCTTTGACATCCTCCTCGATGCTGACATCCCCAAACACAGTTAGCACTCTCCGCTCCGGGAAATTGGCAGTGATTTCATTCTTGACTTCCTCCAAGTTGTCTTTCTTGCTTTCCAAGTCATTGATCACGATGTCATAGCCGTCTCCTGCAAGGCGTATTGCGATGCTGCGTCCAATTCCTTGCGCGGATCCAGTGACGACTGCGACACCTTTGGAGTTGGATTTCGTGGACGTCATTTTTTGACCGGCGAAATGCTGTTATTCTCTCATGGGGTGCTGGACCTTTTGTACTCAGGTAATGCCGGCGTTTCAATTTGTCGAAAATGGGGCATCGTGAAGATGCTGTGCCACTGCTGCGACCGCTGCGGAAAGAAGGTGTTGCGATATGCCGTGACGCCCCAGCGCGACAAGGTGCCGCGGCGCTAACTTGGTCTCTGGAAAATGTTAGGAGTCGGACTCAGGTTGTATAATCATTTTTGCAGCATAATGCAGACTTACATTGTGATAATATATACTTCAGTGGTGGATTTTCCTATCAGGTCTGACTTATTTCACGCCTGGAAATCGATTTCGCTTCAGCCGTACCAATATTGGAGATCTATCTATACTCTCTCTATATATATAGCTAGTACTATATCAATTCGCCAGAACAAACGCACGTACTATGTTTGAGGGTTTTGGGACGACAGAACTACAAAGAATGATCTATGTAACATCCGTCCATTCCATGAGTAACTGACACAGGTAGCGAAACACAAAACAATATGTAGTGTAACGACTACTATAGAGGTAAAGTGTTGCTGAGCTTAACCCACTCCCTGGTACCTGTGAATTTGCCTAGTAAATCATCCATATCCGATGCTGTTTCCTCGGCATCTATCTGCTTGTATGTTCCTTCCGTCCATCCCAGCTCAACTTCGAGGTTATGGCACATGTCATCAATGCGATTGGAGTTAGCTGCCTGGAGCACCCGGAAACAGCCCACAAGGAGAGCCCATAAGGATATATCTATGGTCGATTGGAGGTCCGGGGGTCGATATTTGATAAAACCCATCAGGAAGGCTGACTTCTTATCGCCACACGCAATAGCGTCCAAAGTCGCCCACCCGTCGAGAGGGCGCGATCTCTGCAGTAGGACTCCCTGCCTATAACGCAAGAAAATCCAGGCGAAAACCCACATAAACGATTCCAAATCGTGGCGATATAGGTGTTTCACTTTGCCTTGTTGACCCTCTTTGGTGAGAAGGTCGAGCGCCATGAACGGTACCGTGCCCGTACGCTCGTTTCCCTGATGACCCAATGCATTCGCCAACGAGGATAGATCGTAGTCGTTTAAGACACCGATCAGTCTGCCGTTTTTCCTGTACCACATCAAGTTTTCAAGGCTGATATCTCGATGATAGACTCCTTCCTTCCACAAAATGAGGTGACCTGTACGCGTATGTCAACATGTCAACGAAGAGCCACATCAGTTCAATCAAACACGTACATAGTATACACTGACGCCAGACGTCAAAAAGCTCTTTTCCGTGAAGCTTCGTGATGGGGTGTAGCATATGGAACACGAGGATGTAGAGTACGTGACTGCTCGTGGTTGGTGCTGGAGTGCAAAGTGAGACGTTTTGGACTGGGGATATGGAAATTGTGAACTTGTGGCAAAACCAGCTGAGGAACATGGCCGTTTGAATCCGTGGCCTCGTGCTCCTTAGCCATTTGAGAATCATTTTCCATGATTCTCCCCCCAAAAAAAAAATTGCCATCCCGCGGCTCTTCCTTCATCATGATGGCTGAGGGTATTTATTGGCGAGCTGTTCACTAATGGACCAGTGAACACACGCCTTTTCAAAGTCCGTAGCGCGCCGGATCATTCTGCCATGACTTCCCCTTGCCACATGCCCGGGCTACAGCGCCTAGAGTTTCTCATGAATCGAAGCCTTGGGCTCGATTGCTGAGGCCGGCAAGGTCAGATAACTCCGCACTTGTAACGCACACAAATTCCGAAGAGGTACCCACATTAGTGACTCGACATCACAACGATACAAATTGACAATGCCTATGCGCTGGGGCCCGCCCGTTTCCCTTAGCAGTCGTGGTTGACAATGTCAACAAATCATAGTCGCTTTAGACACCTGTATCAGACGAAGATATACCTGTCAGTGGTATCGGATAGAATCTGAAGAAGAATTCGCGTGTAGACTGTAACTTCTTAATCAGACTACTGAACCATAGAGGGGCCGTACTTGCAATGTACGACTTTGGTAAATCAGGGAAATAGATTGATAGTAAGTTAAGAATGCAATGCATAACCCGTGCGCCCACCTCCCCTGGTTCTAATGGTTCGATGTTGATAGTTATGCGACGATCGAGATCTCTTCTGAGTGCTGACGAGCACTCCACCAAAACTTCCAGGGTTAGATCTATGGACGCAACCTGAACGACATTTGATGTCAAAAAGTCATTCAAAACTGAGGCTTTCTTGCGGCTATATGCCACAGCACCTGCAGTTACCATAGATGGAGGAGGCGAGACTCCGTTGACCAGAGAATGTCATCCTAGTCACGGTAACACAAGGAGAACACGGTAAAAATGCAGACGAATGACTCGAGATTGTGACGATGGATGTGATTGACTTGGCCTCTTTGGCTCTCTGGAGTGATAGATTAAGGGCCGCAAATGGCACTGTGCCCGTGCGCTCATTGCGCTCGCCCGCCGCAATCAACCGATCATAGTCACTGAAGATGCCCAACAAAATGTTGTTTTCGGCTTTTGTTCAGTAATACATCGTGTTATCAGGGCTGACATCTCGATGTCAGACCCCTCCGTTCCAGATATCATAGTGGTCTGCAACGCAATTTAACATGGAGTCACATACTGGACGCAATGAACCACATACGTAAAACGAATTGATGCTACACGTTGCAAAGGTCTTGACCATGAATCTCCGTGATGGGTCAAAACTGCGAATACCGCAACGAGGATATAGAGCATGTGCTACTACCCTTGGTTGTTTCTGGAACGCCAAGTGCTTTTCGGGCTGCCGCAGATGAGATTGCTGAAACGTGCAAGGAATATGGCATTTTGCGGTCTCTTGCTCCGCAGTGAGGCGCCATGATCTCAGGAACCGGGTCTAATATTTCTGGCCTGAGAGCACGTCGATACGGTATTAGTGTGAACTACGATTCGGAATCTCGGACACAGTAGGTCTTTTGGCAACATGGGCAACATACCACAGTACGGACAGAAACCTCCTGGTCCAAAGAGATAGCTTGCTGAAATGTCAATGTCTGAGGATGGGATGGAGAAAAATTCAAGGATAAGGTATGGATCTTCCCTGTGGCACTGGTAGCCGGTCCAGGTAAAGCTTAGTAAAGGCGGCCAAGGTTCAAGATATAGTATGACCGTTTTGGGACGACGAGACTAAAAACGACACGTGCACAAAGGATGGAGCCCAGAGTCTATCTATTCCATGGGTAACACAGGTAGCGAAATATGGAAAGCAGTATGTAGTGTAACAACTGAAAAAAAATCACTGTGAACGGCAAGCGTTGCTGAGCTTGACCCAGGCTATGTCGCCTGTGAATTTGCCTAGCAAATCATCCATAGTTGATACTGATTCCTCATCGTTGGTCTCCTGGTATGATTCTTCTGTCTTGATAACCAATGCTCGCCGTTGTTGGCGTCGCGTAGAGGCTTCGATGTCAAGCACCTGGAAACAAGCTAAAATAAAACACCAAACGACCGTCTTTATGTGAGAGGGTCTGAAATCTTCGAGATAATTAATAAATGATTGCTTTTCCTTGCCACATGCAACAGCGTCTAAAGTTGCCCATAGATCGATGCGCGATCCAGCTGATAGAAGGTTTCCGTTGTCGTAACGCAAGGAGATCCAGGTGAAAACCCACACAAACGACTCCAAATCATGGCGATATAAGTGTTTGACTTCGCCTCGTTGAGCCTTCGCGGTGAGAAGATCGAGCGCCATGAAAGGTACCGTGCCCGTACGTTCATTGCCCCGTGGACCCGGGTCATCCGCCAATGAAGATAGATCGTAGTCATTTAAGACACCGATCAGTCTGCCGTTTTTCTTGTACCACATCAAGTTTCCAGGGCTAACATCACGATGATAGACCCCTTCCTTCCACAGAGTGAGATGACCTGCACGCCATGTTAACGAAGAGCCCCATAAATGCGTCCAAAACACGTACATAAAATACATTGGTACCACACGTCGAAAAGCTCATGGGCGTGGAGCTCCGTGATTGGCTTGAGCTTGCGGAATACGAGAACGTAGAGAACACGACTGCCCGTGGTGGGTTCCGGAACATCAAGCGCTTCTCGGATGGCGGACGTGGGATGCGTGAACGTGTGGTGCCAAAGGAGTTCAGGAACATGGTCTTGGACAGTTGCGTGCCTCTTAGCGATCTCCTCAACCTTGTTCAGGATCTCCGGCTCGCTAGTGCGATCCGCCTCTCCCCAGAATATTTTGGCTACCATCCCATCCTGCAAATCGCCGTATTTCTTCTCGAGCGCTTCACTAGTGACAGGGACCACATTGGTGGCCCGTCCTTGTAGTCCGTAGTGCGTCACTCTTTCGTCGTGGCTGCTATGGAGCAGCAGATCAACCGTTCCGAGATCTTCATCCTTGATTTGGAATTCGTGGCATTGTTTGCCCTCAACTTCAATTGGGAGGAAGTGCTTGTTTCGGCCCCAATCGTGAACCTTGAAGCGTTGTAACGCAAACAACAGCACCATGAATCGCGGGAGATCTTGAATGAAGTTAATGCCCGAGCTTTGAACGGTGCCCTGGCGATCATAATACCAGGTCCAGATCACATCGTCTAAAAAGCCGTGGTAAGAACGGGACCAATCTCGACAGACGACCGAACCCACCGATAACGATAAAATTAATCAGATATTCGACGGCAAGATTGGCCGCAAACATTTCTGCGGCGTACAGACCCGTCTGGACGGTCACATCTGGCTCGTCAGGATTGACCTTGGGTTTTTTCGCAGTAGATTGCAGAGTGTCCGCAGCCTTGCGCTTAGAGCTGGACCCGCCCTTGGAAGGCTGTGCAGCAGTAAGGCCGGAGGATAGAACTGCTGCTCGGTTCATTCAGTTTGATCTCGGATACAAAAATCAAATCACTTACGCGCGGCGTCGGACGCAGGTTGTGTTGCTGGGGTCTGCGAAGGGCCTGGCGTAGGGACTTCTGCCTTGAGATGATCCACCGGCAGATATTCTGGTTTAGTAGGGACATAGTCTGTCACTGTATACGAAGAGGGCGGCGGGTTGATCTCTTTCGTCCTCCCTGGCGTCTTTCTCTTGAACTCAATACAAGCCAAAACATCTTTCCAGGGAAGTGACGCTGGCGGCTTTTCCTTTGCATTCTTGACCATGTGAGCCTTGCGCTTCGTGTCGTGCTTCTCGTCGTGCTTCGTGTTACCCTTCTCGTCGTCTTTCTGTTTGCTCTTCTGTTTGCCCTTCTTGCCGCCCTTCTCATCTTCAAATGAAGCGCGTGCGCTGTTCAAAGGAAGAATGACAACATCGGGCTTCCGAGTTGATTTCACCTTCTGGTGGGTTTGATACATGGGCATGTCGTTCTGCTGGAAGATCATGTCCACGGTGGAGACAGGAGCGCGCATCCCGTCAATCTTGATCTCTTCAAGACAAGCGAGCGCAATGTTCGTTGCGTCAATAAAAGGGCCGTAGAAGTCGTTTTCTACTCCTGGACATACGCTTGCAATCGTTGTAAGCGTAGAAACGTGTAATAATCGAAGGAGCGCTTACTATTTTTTCAGGGCTGTCTCGATGCCCGAAGAAGATATGCCTCCAGCGGAGACCTGTCCATTGCAAACCGAAAGAACTCCCTTCAGGCACTTTTGCAGGAGCTCGGGCTGTTTCGTCTCTGGGGTGCAAGACGCGCGCTGTAGGAGGGCTTGCAGCATGGCATCTGCCTTGCACTGCTTGGCCTGCTCGATGTCCCGCTGAATCCACGGCCGGACCTCCTTGACCCTTCATGGAACGTCAGGTGCTACTCCATTAGAACAAGAAAGGTACGTACTGGACACCGACCAAGCTGATGTTCTCGCTGACGACGGAAGCCCCACGGCTGTTTGGGGTGGACTCTAGTTTACTACCACCTTGATTTGATGCACTAGCGCGTGGCGGAGTAGCCGATGTGCCTGTCTCTCCAGTAGGGGACATGACGCTAGGTGTTCAATGATTGCGCTGACTGAGTTTTGTGAGCAGAGCTGGTGAGGAAGAGAAAAGTAAGAGGACAAGGAAAACGTCTGCTTCCTGCTTGCCTTATATCCGGTCGACGAATGTGGCGCAAATGTAGCGGACCATCGATCATTAATCTGATGTAGATGTGGCGGTTGTGGACTTGTATATTTAATTCGTGACTCCGACGACGCGTTCCCATCAACTCACGCACGTGACCCTGACTTATTTCTCTAAGTTCTTGAAATCGATTTCAGTCAAGTCCGGTCATTAAATATTAGAGATCCATATGCATAATGTAATACTCTAGTGCTCTGTCAATTCGCCAGAAATAAGATTCGCTGCCGCGCGCCAGGGAGGTCATGTTTTTGCATACTGAAAGGAACTCCACTATGATCTATCTACGTGCACATACATCATGATCTTGTTCTCGGTAATAATCAACAGAAGTTC